CGACCTACACGGGTCGAGAGCGTCACAGCTCTTCTGTGGAGATGCGTCGTCGCTTCATCGTCCAAGACAACAACAACAACAACGTGTACAAAAATTCTGGGGCAACCTGCTAACTTGCGAAATAAGATACCCTCCCTCCTGTCCCAAAACCTAATTGGAAACATCATCTACTCTACCATGACATTCAACCGGAAAAACGAGATCGATATTCAAGAAACGGTAAAGGAGTTACGAGAAAGGGCGGAGGAGTTGACCCGTCTAATCCAAGAAGGTGGTGATGATCAGTCCGCAACGGCTCTGGGTTCGAAATTGTTAGATAAAATGCTTGCTGTTTTTTCTAAGTTAAGCGATGACCCTGACGGCCACAAACTTCACGCAGTAAGTAGCTGGTGTAAGCTACCGTTTTATGAGACTGATTTTGGAACGGGACCTCCGGTTTGGGTCTTTGGAAGTGTGGCTCCCATCGCTGACTTCGTGACAGTGGCGTTTCTGTTAGATTCGAACGATCTTCAAGGGATCGAAGCGTGGGTGACACTTGCCGAAGAAGACATGGCCTTGTTCCAACAGAACCCTGAACTCCTTGCTTTTGCCTCTCCCAGCTCTCCTGTCTTTTTCTAAATATTTTATTTTTATTACGTATATGTATGTCTGTATTTCCCAAATAATATTGTGTGCTTTTTGGAACTGCTTCATATATATATAGCAACTCTGGTACTTGACGATCGTAGAGCATGAGCCTGCCATGAACTATACGGTAGGCATATCTTCTTAACTTATATCTACATATAGCTATATTTCCTCTATATCCTTTGCTTTGGAGTGCTGGCTTGCATATGGTCTGTCAGGCAGTTTTGAATGATACTTTCTCTATCAGCTTCGTTTCTGGCAGCTTGTGGAGGCTGGCCATACTTACTAGGTTGTGTTTTATCGTATGTAACAATTGGAAACTCTTTTTATGGAGGAACACAATTACATGATCATTGTCTTTGAAAACTTTGGTTCTCTTTCTGCTTGCCAACATCATTCTTCACCTACAAACGATTTTTTAAATTTTTTGTAGATTACTAGCATTCTTTCTGTAATATTTGTCTTCTCCACTTCTGGAATTTTGTAGTATAATGAAATATCTGCTTTAATGTGAAAAGCCTGATTATTATGTAGATTATATTATTATGTAGATTATGTTGATAGATCTCTTTCATTACAAAGTCCTTTTCCCGAGAACTAGGGTTTTCAATAACAATAATACGATTGTTCTCATCTCTTGACATTCTAACTGAATCTCCTTCTTTGTTTATTTGCTGATTTCTGCCGATTATCTTCAATTTATCTATTAACATCAATTTTCAATTTGTAACGATGAATTAGCTATAAGCCTCATCTTCATTATATCAGTCATCCCTCCCGAATCTACTTCTACCGTTATTGCATTGATCAAGAAATTTCTATCGGAAAAGCCTAGAGTGCTGGAAGAGCTCAAGGTAAAAGCTAAACATGTAAAGCAAAAGAACAAGTGTGTCGTGTGTGAAAATATACAGATTGGTTTTATAAAAGCTATTATTGTATTTGTGGCAGAGGGAGCATGAGGCAATCCTTCAGAACAGAGAAGATAAGGAATCTGGAGTTACATGGGAAGAATACACACAAGATGATTTTCACGGTAATTCTCAAACTCTTCAAGATTGATATAAATAAAAATGTAGATTCGAAATAGACAATTTAGAAAGCTTCTAAGACCAAAATTTTGAAATTTGACTACATTTTAGAATTTTGCAACTTCCAATGTTGGAAGTTTTGGATGAAAATCAATAATTCTGTCTATATTCTCTAAAATCCCTTAAAAAAATATTGCGCTGTTGATTATCTTCTTTTACCATCCAACGTTCACACGAGGGAGCGTAAATTTAGGAAAATATATTTGATGTTTTGTCTCTTGCATACCATTTGTCAATATGTTGTCTGTATTTTGAAAAGTTAGCTATTACCATTTGTGTTAATAGCTATTACCGTGTGTGTGTTTGTTTCATTATAGTATTTATGGGTCATACACACTAACACACATGATACCTACAATGTAGGTCATCAATGAGTCACTTAGATTGGGAAGCACGGCTCCTTTGATGATTAGGAAGGCCTTAAAGGATGTCGAAATCAAAGGCAAGTACTCTAGACTATATCTTAGTCTCTGTCCCATATTATAAGCAGTAAATGTATTTGCAAAAAAATGGATGTATTTGGACTCAATTGCATCTAGATGCATCCACTTTTTTGCAGATACATTTCCCCAAACAGCTTATAATATGGGACAGAGGGAGTACTATATAAAGTATATATATGTTTGATAATTTGGTAAGAGCAGGGTAAACGATTCCTCAAGGTTGGACTTTGGGTCTTGTACCTTCAGTGGTTCATTATGACCCTCAAGTATATGAAACCCCAGTTGAGTTTGAACCATGGAGAAGAGAAGGGAAAGAAACACGGACAGGCTACAAAACATTTATGGCGTTTGGCGTGGGAGTGAGACAGTGTGTATGAGCCTAGTTTGCTAGGCTTCAGATGGCCATCTTCATTTATTATCTTGTCACCAACTACGATTTCTCCTTGACCCAAGACTCCGTGGTGATTCGAACACCTACAGTAAATTTCCACAACAGCCTCCAGTTCAATATCAAATGATTCACTTGCATATAGCTATATCAAATATTGCAAATCATATATTGTGTAGTGTCCTTTTATGGTTATGAGAAGTAACTAATTAACTGGACAACACTCTTCTTCTTCTACAATTTCATTTCGGATCATCCCTTTTTTATTTAATAAGATGAATACAATCATACAATTCATTTCAGATAAAACAATGTCTATTTGTGGTGATCATTTTCGATTTAGTTTTGGAAGTCAACGAAAAACATCACAAAAAGTGAGAAATATTACGAATAAAAAAAAACCAACATTCTTTAACAACTAATACATATCCGACATTGTCCTTTGACAAACTCAACAACCAGTTTCCATCGATTGTTTTAATAGTGATTCAACACCAAAGATCGATGGAAGTTGGTCACCGAATTCACAAGGGCAGAAGAATATGTATTATTAAATAGATGTACTGAAGAGATAGCAACTAAAACAATTCATAGATCAAAACAGTGTTATAATATGCGAGGCATTTCCAGGATCAAAAGGCATAAATAAAAGCAAGATGATCAGGATATACCACAACTAATTAATATTGCGTCACAAGCCATTATACCTAAAGAAATTGAATTATTCCTCAGAATTGGTAATGGACGCAAAAAAAGTACAAATTATCGGATAATGCTCAGTGGAAGGAGAAGTCGTTTAATTGAAAGCTCACGTCAATTACAAATCCTTTTACAGAATTCATAATCGTCCACTGCTCTTCTTACACTCTTCGTGCTTTTGTCTCATCATCGCATCAAAAAACAAAACAATCAATAAAAATTAAAACTTGGTGACTCTAAGCTTTAGTGTGTGTAACAAAATCAGATCATTGATCATTGTATACAATAAACCTCACTGAAATCCGCTAAGATAATTGTTTTTATCATCATAAGCTTATTTCACCAATCTAAGAAAAAAATCAAGATTACACAACACCATTCAAAACAGAAAACATAAAATTGGTTAAAACAGAAAAGCTTCAGTGTGTGTAACAAATTCAGATCATTGACCATTGTATACAATAAACCTCACTGAAATCCGCTAAGATAATTGTTTTTATCATCATAAGCTTATACAACCAACCTAGGCACCAAAAACAAGAACAATGACAAAAATCCAAACAATAAACGATACAGATTTTGAAATTGTGGGTGTGAAAGGGAATACTCAGACAGCCAAGGGTTAATCTTCAACTTCTGGGAGAAGAGCCCAGATCTGAAACTCTAGTCCATAACATATATTGTATCATCACCATAAACCCTTCCACACTGAACAAGAAAAACTTTCTAACTCTTCACAAAACCCAAAAAGCCACAAAAAGGTATACAACAGACACACACAAGCAAGAAGAGAGCGATAGATGTACGAACTTGAAGAAGACAAAAACCATATAAATACAGATCACACAGACGGAAGATTAAGAATTAGGGCTACCTTGGGCGGCTGCAACTAAATTTAGGCTTTTCTTTGTCCAATTAGACTATATGGGCTTCTATCTGACGTGGCCCAGCAAACACTTTAATCTAATGAGTTACTCTCTCCACATCATTAAAAACAGTAAACTGTATTTAAAATATTTAATAAATATATAACTATTCATATTTCTTTACATTTATTCATATTTAATAAAAATATACAAATAAATTGATTAATTAATAGAAAATATGTTATAATTTGATATTAAAAGTTATCAACAAATTGGAATATAAAATAGAGATGGAGTAAAAAAAAAATCAACTTCAAATAGTATATATTTATTTTATTATTCAAAGATTTATCATACTTTAAAATGTTAGAATATGTTTACAAGTTGAATATAAATTAATTAAGACACTAGAAACTAATGAAACATTAGAGTTAGAGTTTGTTTTTCTAAACAAATAGAAATAGAGTTTTATATGTAAATTTAATTGTAGTAAAAAACAAGAATATGTTTACAAATTTTAAAATACACATTTATAAATTTTAACCTTCAATCAAATACATATACATGTTTACCGTCTAATGAAAGTAAACATAATATTTATAACATGATAAAATTTTAGAAATAGAAAATTCGAGATAAAACAGAGTGTTAATATCCTAATAAATTAAAATAAAAACAAATTATTCATATTTTTTAGTGTTAGTGGTTAAGTTAACTAAAAACATAACAAAAACATGAAATTTAACACAAAACCATCATAATTCAAATCAACAAGTATAAATAAAATTAAACAGAAAAACTATCGTAAACAACTCCGTGATTGCGCGGGACTTCAAATCTAGTTTGATTAATTAAATCTTATCTTCACAAATTACAACAACCAACCAAAATGAAGATTGAGCTTGTGTTCATACCATCGCCGGGAATTGGTCATCTCAGGTCAACCGTCGAGCTAGCTAAGCAAATCGTCACCACCGACAATCGCCTTTCGATTACCGTAATCATTATACCTCACGCTTCCGGTGGAGACGTCGGTGGCAATAATATCTCATCTCTCTTCACCACCACCACGTCCCATGGCGATCGTCTCCGTTACGTCACCATCTCCGTCGCTGATCAAACAACCGCCGATCGGCAACCGACTCAGATCTACATCGGGAATCAAAAGCCGCAAGTAAGAGATGCGGTTTCAAAACTCGCCGATCCAAAAACGCGGCGGCTGGCCGGATTCGTCATCGACATGTTCTGTATCTCGATGATGGATCTAGCTGACGAGTTCGGAGTTCGGAGTTACATGTTCTACACGTCGAACGCTGCGTTTCTCGGAATCACGCTTCATCTCCAGCTCATGTACGACGAGAAAAACGATGAGATGATGAGCGAGTTGGATTTGGGTGATGACTCGGTCGACGAGTTGGTGTTTCCGTGTTTGACTCGTCCATATCCTGTGAAATGTCTGCCACGTGTCTTCCTTTCGAAGCAGTGGCTACCTTTCTATCTAGCTCAAGCGAGAAAGTTCAGAGAACTCAAGGGTATTTTGGTAAATACAGTTGCTGAGCTGGAGCCTCACGCTTTGAAACTCTTTTCCGATGATCTTCTTGTAGAACCAAGAATTTTTACTATAAGGCAAACTGACCAATTCTTAATATAATGATAAAGAGATAATAAAAATACAAGACACAATATGAAAAACGGGAAGAATGTATTTGTGCGGAGGCGAGACACTCTTTCCTTAATTCTTTAATTACCTGTAGTGTGACGGTGTTTATGCAATCAGAATCCCAAGATACAACCGCACTCGACTATTTCGCGACACTCGAAATAGAAGCTAACAAACCTAACTCTGTGTTATACTCTCAAACACAAAATAAAAGAAAAGAAAAATAAAAGAGAACTAAACTTGTGAGGAATGTTTTCTGTGTTGAATGAATGATTTCCTATGAAGTACAAGAGGCTTTATATAGAAAAGAATGAGATCAAGTGACATAATTGTATGGTCTTCGTATTGACCAAAAACATATCACAACATAATGGAGCAAATCACGTAATAATCAATATTATTAAGTCACAATATGACTTTGACCATATAATAATAGACTAAGATATTTTGCTTTGATCAAATTTAAAGCAATAATATTTTAGTATATGGATTTCTTTTTTGTGTAAATTAAGTCTTAACACAAAAGATTAACTTTAATTTGGTTCATTATAATAAGTTAATGGACTTGATATCCAATTAACAATTATAACCCAAACTCAAATCCAAATATCTAATATGGGCTATTTGCTAATTTTAACACTTAGCCAAATATAAAAAGCTTTATAAGCTTTTATAAACACCCATTTATAAACTCCATTTCTCATTCAAATCAACTCTGATTTTGACATATGAATACATTATTTCATAGTGTTCATGGCGACGATTCTTTCGTGCCTAACATATGGTTTTTCCGACAAACGTCTTCACCGGAAAACCAACCGGAAAATGGCCTTTAAACCATTTTGTCAAAAACGAGTTCCAACAATCCCCCACATGAATAGAAATGAATCTAAACAAAAGAAGAAAAGACTCAAAAGAAATAAAAATAAAAAGGACTTTTGAGAGTATAAACGAAAAATCCACTGCATATGAGTTGGTAGCATTTTTCAGCCTTGAACCAAATCACTGTTAATAGCTATCGGGTTTACTCGACCAAGAGGTGAACATGATGTCTTGAACCTCTCGGGCTTTGATGTAAACCAAGACAACAACTATAACACAGTTTCATTCTCTCACAGAACTAGGTTCTCTATTGTGTTCATTTTTGGCCATGAACATACTTGGATAATCATGAGTGAAGTTGGAGAATATAGCCTTTTATTTATTCTCCTAGAAACGGCCCCATTTCACACTCACAAGGTGATTCGCCATTAACTTTGTTTAAAGGAGTATCATGTACTACTCCATGTATATTTCAAAGTTATGGACCCAAATCATTAAAAGCTAATGCTTATCCTCTATACCATACATGTAACACTGTTTATCATCCTAGGAACTGGGAATAGATATAAATCTCACAGTGTTTTTGGGCAGATTCAGTTTAACTTAGTTTTCCCCTTGAACCTATTTCTTGGGATCTCCAGTCATTTAGGTAGGGTTACCATTAAACATCCTCTTAAGTCATAGGCTTTTAACCCATTCCTCTTGATGATTTTACAACTTGATCTCATGACACACCTTTAATATTTGGATCCTAGGTTGTCATTTACTTGAATATAATCTATAAAGATTATTTCATTTTGAGATTAATTGTTTTTAAATATTTAGGAAGGTAGCATTTCAAATTTTTCCATGTACCCCACATTTTCAAGGTATTGTACAAATGTACTTGGCCCATTTTTTTTTTCTCAAAATTCATAAAACATTTTGTTAAATGACTTTATGTGGTAAGCAATGCTTTTCCCCCACATTTCTCTTTACTTGATTTGCATTTTGGAAATAAGTATGAATTAAACAATCTCTTATAGATATATAATTTCATGCCTTAACCATTCATAACAAATATAGAAAAGACTTAATCAAAAAAGAAACAACATTATTCTTATTGATTGAAAAAAAAAAAACAGAAACAACATTATTCTTAGGAGTTACAACTCAGTTTCGGATGACTGGCATGACACACATTTTGACAAGTCCATCCTTAACATACCCCTTTCCCAAATAAACTCCATGTTTCTTGAGCACAAGCTTGTCAGACTCGAAATTGGTAGCAAATCCGGCCTTACTCATAAGAGTACCAGAAATCAGATTCTTTCTCATGTCTGTCACATGCTTCACATTTTGGAGAGTGATCTCCTTTCCTGAGGTCATCTTCAGCACCACTTTGCCATGACCCTCAATCTTGGAAGAACCAGTGTTTCCCATCAATAGGCGTTCTCCATTGTTGCATTTCTGATAGGTACTAAACATGTCCCTATCATTGCAGATGTGGATAGTGGCACTGTGTCGTACCACCACTCCCTTGGGTTGTCCTCAACATTGTTGACTTCAGTGACCACAGCACACAAGTCATCTTCTGTGAGGTGAGCCTGAGACTTCCCTTTGTCTTCACTTGGACCAGCTTTGCTACGGCAAACATTAGCTTTGTGGCCCATCTTGCCACACTTGTGGCACTTCCATTTGAACTTCTTTGGTTCAGCTTGCTTCTTGAAGCTTGTGGAGGAGTGTGGAGGAATTTGTCCTTTCCCATTTCTCTTTTGCTCAGCCAAGTTCACATCATTCGCACGAATGAAAACAGCATCGGCTTCGCGGTTTCGGGATTCAACCTCGCAGCTTGACAATTAAGTCCTCGAGGGTAATTGCCTTACGCTTGTGAGTGAGATAGTTTTTGAAGTCCATCCACCCTGGAGGAAGCTTCTCAATGAAGGAATTGACAGTGAAAATTTCACAAATCGACATACCCTCAGCGGCTATCTCATGCGTAATCAATTGCAAGGCTTCAACTTGTTCCATGATGGGTTTTGAATCCACCATTTTGAAGTTGAGAAATTTCGCCGTAGCGTATTTCTGACAGCCAGCATCCTCGGACTTATACTTCTTCTCCAAGGCCAACCAAAGTTGCTTGGAGGTTTTCGCCTCACAGTACACATTGTACAATGGGTCTATCAAGCGGCTTAGAATCCAGCCCTTGCACAGAAAGTCTGACTGGGTCCACCGATCCATAATGGTTGAATCAGTGTTCCCTGGTGGGACAACGGGTGCATCATCTTTCAGATACTTGTCAAGGCTCAAATTGGTCAAAAAGAAAAGCATCTTTTGTTGCCAAGTTTTGAACCCATTCCCACCAAACTTTTCTGGCATCAATCCTACGCTTACAGCGCCAGGCATTGAAGGGTTTGTAAGTGGCTGACCACTCCCAAATTGGGGCGTCGACTCACTTAACCCATTTCCATTTCCAAGAGCACTACCTCCAATGGTTCCATCAATGGGAGCAACCATGTTTTGCCCATCAAGTCCAACTTGGTTGTCAATAGTCATAGTGAATTCAAATTTGTTCACAAGAAAGCAAATAAATTAATATACTTATGAATATACCAATTCACAAGTTCAATGGAATAATATTGCAATTAATCAAATCATAATAACTAACTAAATTAAAAATAAAATTCAGAATAAAATTCTAAATAATTAATAATTTAAAATCAATGCAAAGGGATATGAATTCAAACTTCACGATTAAGTGCATAAGCAATATAATGCATATTAAATTGACAGCAAGTGACAAAACAAATATGCTAACTTTAATGATAGTAATTCTTAGAAAGTATAAGTCAACAATGACAACAATGAGAACATAACCGTAGCATTAAACCAGTAAACCAAACAATTAAAATATGTTTTGTGGCAAACCAATTATTTGCTTAGTCCAGAATTAACAACAATATAACAAAATAATCTCGAGACAATTAAATAATTAAAATATTACTGAAAATTAATTTTCCAGAATATAATAATTAACAGTTCTCGAAAATAATAATTCTGGAAATTAAATAATATAAATAAAATAAATAAAATAAAAGGATATTGAGCTCTAATAAAATCCTCTCACAAACCAATAATGGTAATAGCTGATTCAAATTATTTGTGAGAAAAATATTTTTTCCCTGAAATAAAAATTCTAGAAAATAATTCTAGATTGAATAATGAACCACCAGAAAATACATGTTCTTAATCAAAAATAAAACTTAAGAAATGATCAGTTTTTTGTTAGTACAATAACAAAAAATTAAAGAATTAAGAATGTAGGACCAAGAATTTCTACTATAAGGCAAACTGACCAATTCTTAATATAAAGATAAAGAGAGAATAAAAATATAAGACACAATACCAATTAAAGGTAAATGAAGAACGGGAAGAACGTGTTTGTGTGGAGGCGAGACACTCTTTCCTTAATTCTTTAATTGCCCGTAGTGTGACGGTGTTTATGCAATCAGAATCCCAAGATACAACCGCACTCGACTATTCCGCGACACTCGGAATAGAAGCTAACGAACCTAACTCTGTGTTATACTCTCAGACACAAAATAAAAGAAAAGAAAAATAAGAGAGATACTAAACTTGTGAGGAATGTTTTCTGTGTTGAATAAATGATTTCCTATGAAGTACAAGTTAAAATGGTTTTATATAGGAAAAGAATGAGATCAAGTGACATAATTGTCTGGTCTTCGAATTTGACCAAAAACATATCACAACATAATGGAGCAAATCACGTAGCAATCAATATTATTAAGTCACAATATGACTTTGACCATATAATAATAGACTAAGATATTTTGCTTTTGTAACATCCATAAACCAAAAATAAAAATTGGGAATTTTGTCGGTTCAATTTAAGTGAATTGGTTTGGGTCGGTTTAGTGGAGAAAGCCCTAAAATCAAGTTTAAAGAGTGCAGCCGTCTTCTCTTTGGAGAATTTTCGAGTTCAGATGCTGTAGAGGAGAAAAGTTGAGTTTTTGGAGAGATTTTCGAATTTTACTGTTCATCGGGTTTCTACTGTTCACGGGTTACTGTTCACGGGTTACTGTTCATCGGTACTGTTCACGGGTTACTGTTCATCGGTACTGTTCACGGGTTACTGTTCATCCGCGATTCGGCACTGTTCATCGTCCTTCCTTTTTCCTTCAGTTTCAATCATTGTCAAGGTGAGTGCATGACTGTGGGTCCGTGATTTGCTAGATTAGATTTGGTTTGTGGTTGTTCTTGATGAGTTTATGTTTTAATTGTTATTTTTATGATATTTTGGTTGTTCATGTGATGAATTGTGTGTTTGTGTGGTTTAATCTGGTTTATTGGTTTAATTGAATTTAATTGATTTGATTCTGGTTTATCTTGGTTCAATTGAATTTAATTGGTTTAATTGAATTTAATTGGTTTAATGGAATTAAATAGATTTAATTCGGATTTAATTAATTAAATAATATTTATTTAATTAATTGGTATTATTTTAATTATTTTAAAATATGGAAAATTATTATTTAATTATGAGAATTATTTAATAATTGAGAAATTGAGTTTTAATTATTAAAAATTATTTAATAATTGGAAAATGGTATTTAATAATTATTGGAGTTTATAAATATTATTAAATATCTAGTAAATTGCGTAAATGGCTCGTAGGCAGAGTGATTGCCTCACTAAGTATTTATTAAATACTTACGCAACTCCATTCCAATGTGTTGCAGGTAAAAGATTTGTGTGATCGCGGAATCAAGGCTGAAGAGGGGGATGATAGGATGTTTACTGTTTTATTGTTTTGCATTATTTTGCTAGACTTGTTTAATTATTATTTGCTTCCGCTGAGCTGATTTATTTGTTATTGATATTTTATTTATTTAATTTATTTTTAAGACCTTCGCTAGAATTGATTAATATTTATTAAAAAAAAAAAAATGTTGGTTGTTTCAGCTTTGATCAAATTTAAAGCAATAATATTTTAGTATATGGATTTCTTTTTTGTGTAAATTAAGTTTTAACACAAAAGATTAACTTTAATTTGGTTCACTATAATAAGTTAATGGACTTGATATCCAATTAACAATTATAACCCAAACTCAAATCCAAATATCTAATATGGGCTATTTGCTAATTTTAACATTTAGCCAAATATAAAAAGCTTTATAAGCTTTTATAAACACCCATTTATAAACTCCATTTCTCATTCAAATCAACTCTGATTTTGACATATGAATACACTATTTCATAGTGTTCATGGCGACGATTCTTTCGTGCCTAACATATGGTTTTTCCGACGAATGTCTTCAGAAAACCAACCGGAAAATGGCCTTTAACCATTTTGTCAAAAACGAGTTCCTAACACTTCTTCCTCAAGCTTACCCTGTAGGACCAATTTTGCATCTTGAAGACAATGGGAAGCAATCGGAGACTTTGCAGTGGCTTGACGAGCAACCGGCGAGATCGGTTGTGTTCCTTTGTTTTGGGAGCATGGGAGGTTTTAGTGAGGAGCAAACTAGAGAAACCGCTGTCGCGCTAGATCGAAGCGGTCACCGGTTTCTCTGGTCACTCCGTCGTGCATCGCCGAATATAATGACGGAGCCTCCCGGAGATTTCGGGAACCTGGAGGATGTTTTACCGGAAGGATTCTTAGACCGGACGTCGGGTAGAGGGAAGGTAATCGGATGGGCTCCACAAGCTGCGGTGCTAGCGAAGCCGGCGATCGGAGGTTTCGTCACGCACTGTGGATGGAACTCCATGCTTGAGAGCCTCTGGTTCGGCGTTCCGATGGTGACGTGGCCTCTCTACGCGGAGCAGAAGATAAACGCGTTTGCGATGGTGGAGGAGCTGGGACTGGCGGTGGAGATACGTAGGTACTTCAGAGGAGATCTTATGGCCGGAGAGATGGAGATGCTTACGGCGGAGGATGTAGAGAGAGCGATAAGGCGTGTGATGGAGGAGGATAGTGACGTCAGGTACAGAGTGAAGGAGATGGCGGGAAAATGCCACGCGGCGTTAATGGACGGTGGATCTTCGAAGACGGCTTTGGCAAAGTTTATTCAAGACGTGATTGAGAATCTTGTAGTTTAAAATAGTAGAATGATAAAGAGTTATAACCCATTTATATAATCTATACTAATTTTCCTCAGAGAAAGCAACAAATAAAACTGTTAAGAAGGCAGCTTTAGAGAGAGTAGGCAATGGGATGCCATATTTTCCCTTCTCAAACAAACCCTTTAGAAATGGAAAGAACAACAAAACCACCAAAATACATCCACAAGCCTCTGCCAAGCCCGAACCACCTCCTCCTGAACTACAATCGCTCGACCATTGTAGACGCACCGAGAAAACAGCTAGAGCAGCTAGGTTCACCAACATAATGAATGTGCCGGGAATGAAATGACATGAGCTATCAAACTCAAATTTACCTAAGTCTGATGAGTTTGACTCATCATCTTCTCCCTGAGATGGTTTAGATGGCCTGGTCTTGGAGATAGTCTTTTTAGCAATCACGAAACCGATTTTCGAGATGCCAAGAAGTTTGAGTATGATATCTTGGACGCTAAATAACCAACCACAAGTGGCTATTATTCTCCAAAGAGATTGGGAGACATACCATGATTTTACAGAGAAACCAAGGCTTAGATATTGCCATAGAGTGTAGAGACAGTGCATCACCACAAGTGTGATTGTTATGCCTAGACAAGGTCCCTAAAAATCCACACATAAAAGAGATAAGAACAAAAAAAATATATCTTAAGATGTTGCTTCTAATTAATTCTATGAAAGTAAACATAACTATATTCAAAGAGAGAAAGATACCTTGGGATACAAGGTATAGTTGTGGAGTAGGCAATAAGCAGGCAAGAGACAGTAAAGAAGCTCAGGGATTGATCTTAGACACATGAGAACCCAAAGATAAGCTAATCGCTGTCGAAATCTTATTTTCCGACGAAATATTCCGATCAACGGACTTTGTTTGTTAAAAAGGACTTCGATTGCTCCCGTCCCCCATCGTCGCTGTTGGACTATCGCCTCCACTCCTAACGACGGCGTGGATCCAAGAAACGCAGGTGGCTCCGGAGAAATGTATGAGCTAGTCCATCCTCTCAAATGGATTCCACTACTTGTGTTCATATCTTCCGCCACTGAATCGTATAAACAACCGAGCTGCATGGTTTATTACAAAAAAAAAAAAAACACATTATTACGGGTAAAGAGCTTATAAATTCTTGAAAATAGGCCATTAATATTTTTGTAAAATGTCTTTAAGTTTTAGAATATAATGATCAAGTTGAGACGGGAATTACGGTTTTCCCCCAACTGGTTTGGTACTCGTAGTGACAATGCCCTACTTCTTGAGCCGCTTCTATGATGTTTGTAAGGGAATTTTGAGGATTTGATTTTCTTTTTAATGCCTCAACCATCGATATCACCATCTCTTTAGAACTCCCAAATTTCGTTGCTAATTTATCTTCATCCAAAAACTCCCCTTCATGAAATAGCAATAACAAAGTTATGCTGAATTATATATTAGATAAATCATAGAAAGTATATAAATTTAAATGAGACGGTAAAAACTTGGTTTTAATATGTAAAAAATTGTTTAAAATAATGTTGCGAAGAAGAAACATATGAAAATCTCTTATGAACATCTAATAGTTACTTGTAGCAACCGGAGTAAGACTTCCATCGTCTTCTAAATCGTCCGGAGATACACCGTACATAACTCTTCGAGTGTGGAAGCATCCTGAGCCACAATATAGCGGTCCTTGGATTCCCGCAACTCCACGTCCCAAAAACTAATATCAACAAAGATTAAAAAAACAAAGATTGGTCATTATTAAATCTATAAAGTTGTACTGGTCATATAATTATAAGCAAGAAGAAAAAGAAAAAGAAATGGTACTGATTGTACGACGGCGAGTTCGTCCGTGTTAGAATCATAGAAATGTTGAGGGAATTGAACAAAAGCACAATGATTTGAATTCTTTGATTTTTGTAAAAATACACACATCGCTTGTCGCACCACATCTGCCTCATTGGCATACATGTCGCAGTCTACGTGCAACATGTACGGTGCATTTGTCATCAACCCTGACACTCTTAACTGTTCAAATTCATCTTTATCATCACACTTTTATCATCGTAACAATTAAAACTACCGATCATAGTTGTTAAAACATTGTGAGAAAGTCATTAACCAGAAAGTTCATGGCTCCAGATTTGTAATGATGAAGGTAGTTTGGTCTTTTCTCTCTTGAAATATATACAAGATGAGGGACTTCTTTCTCCTCTCCCACACCTCCCTTGTTTTCCCATACCACCTTCACATACACACATAAAACAAGATTTCATATAATTGTTAGCTAGTTAGTATACGTAGAGATTATTTTGTACATCGGATTTTTCTTAGAAATACCCTAACTATAGTTTTTTTTTCTTATAATATATAATACCTTAAGTATAGTTGAATGATCACTTGGTTTTGTGTTTGAGAAAGCTTCAAAATCCTTGTCTGCATCCAACCAATGGGAATCTCTGCTGGCATCTTCAACTTTCCGGCTTAATCTCTCGTATTCCCTCTTTATATTAGTAACACAAAAACAAAACTAGAGAGATTTCAATATATAACATGAAAAAAGGCCACATGCATACATAATAATTAAAATATTAAAAATTGTTCACAGCACAATTTTTTTGAGAACTTGTAAATCTAGAGAAAAAAAATAAGATATGAGAATGAAAAACCAATTTTTTTGTTTCCTATCAATAATGGGAAATAGATAAATAAATCAAAAATTAAAAAAACCGTAATTAAACGTCATTACCTTCATCATTTCCCAGTCTTTACTGAATTCTGAATCGTCTGCTGCAACCAAAGGGTTCAAGAAATATCTAAAAGGTGCTCTAACTTTTACGTTGTATTTCTTGCAGAAGGGAACCCAAATCTTGGCGAACTTAGAAGCTTCCTTGAGAGAGAAGTAAGTGAGAGGTGAGCATCCATCGTCCGACACATAACACGCTAATTTATTCGCCGGATAGTTCACAGCTAACAATGAAAGCACTGTGTTCGCAACCATAATCGGCGGCTCCCTAACCGGATCTGCCGTAGGCACGAACATATCTACTAAAGGAAGGTCATGAACCCTGAAATTAATTAAAAATTTGAATGTTAAAAAATATATAGAAATTTTACATAGAAACGAAAAATATGAATGTCTGCTCGATTCAAGGTCTTCTACTATCGTCTTTTAATGATCAAAATTCAATAGCAACGATTTGTTTTAATTTCTTAATTTTATAACATATATTATTTTGACTTGAGTACTCTAATGGAGCATATATTGTATTATGTGTAAATGAAAATTGTACCTTTCATCAAGTCTCTTTGGATAGGGTTTATCTTCAGCTGGACTCCATTTTATGCAGGTCATAATGAGCCATGCGAATGTTAAACAAGATTCACAGAACAAAGCCACGAGCCAAACGTTGTCTTTTTGGCTCATATGTTGGATTCGGTGCAAGAGAAGAGAAAAGAGAAGGCCGAGAATCATGAGATCCACAGCTCTTAAAACATAGCTTTTGTGTGAGATCCTTTCGCAAAGAGGAGGGAGAGAAGAGCTTGAATCCGCCATTAGATGAGCTCTCTTGCGGGCTTTGGATATGTTTTGAATGTTAATACTCTCTCTGTCCCATATTATAAGCAGTTTGGCAAAATATATTTGTATCTGGACATTATTACATCTAGATACATCCATTTTTTTGCAGATACATTTTGCCAAACTACTTATAATATATGACAAATGGAATAGTAAATAATGTGTCACGTATATATATATATATATAGTATATTATGTGTCTAAAGAAACATATATAAGTCAGAAATCTGAACTGAACTAGATTCATCAATATTTTGACTTTCAATGTACGTCTTTGATAAAAAATTTAAAAGGCGCCGCCGATAGTTCCTTAACTGGACGAGAGGACACACTATTTCTGTCCACATATAAATCTTGCCGACTCAAAGATTTTATAAACCCAAGTGCAAGATTCAAAAATGACCCTTTAACATATAATAAATATGACACTAAACTAAGATATCTTTGTTAAACAGGCATTTTAACATATATTTTATAGTTCCGGTACCTTGATCCCAAACTTCACTTCATCCGGTAACAATTAAATGGATCATAATTAGTCTCACTTGATAAAATTGAATCATTATCTCTCTCTTTCACTCTCTTTTAGTTTTATGGTTTTCGACAATAGATAGTTAATTTAGTTTGGTAGATCTAAGATTAGGTGGTTAGGTTAGTTACGATTACGGCCAAATTAGGTGGTTCTAGGTTTTGTAAACTGAATTTGGGGGTTAGGCTATTAGTGTTTAATATAATTAAACGTAGTTTATATTTTGGTTTGAAACATGTTTTAACGTTCTCAAACATGTTTTAATGCTTTTACATGTTACAAAGAGTTTTCATCTCAAAATGTAAAAAAGACATCAACTACAAATATCAAACAAATTCATTATAATATCATGATCTCTAAAGACCATGAATGACTCAGAAAAAAAAACCAAGTGGTGGCCTTCTATCTTTGAGTTTTCCCCCCTTTTTAAACTATTGCATTAGCATTCCATCAATCTCACAATTCATGAATGACTCAAGCGGACTCAACTGGTGGCCTCACATAGTCACAGCAATCTTAAGCTCCTCCGAGCCTTATCTTACACTCCTCAAGCTTATGTCTCATTACCGCATCTCAATATCTTATAATCAAACAAAACACAAACTTGGAGAAAAAAAGGCTTAAAGTGTGGATTGGATTTAGATGTCTAATTCTCCTCTCCACGGAACAATATTCAACCCCAGAATCGACGAACCCTAATCCCCTTTCGATTTCCCCAAATCGATTTTAATTTTTTGGGAAAAAGGTTGCAGGTTAGGGTTAGATGTAATCGGGTCTGATTTGTTAGACAAACCGCGGGTTTGCGTTTTAAAACCCGGGTCAATTGAGTTAAAACGGGCAATCACTGTTCCGAAAACTGGATTTTGTTTTTTAAAACGCAAATGGGGGAACCGACATAGATTATAAGTTTGGGGAGAAATAAAAGGGCTCAAAAGTCTGTGTGGATCACGATGGAAACATTTTAGTTGGGGGGGGGGGAATAGGCGGGCAACCCTTAAAGTAGAGAAAAACATAAAACTATAAGTTGTTGATGCATTCGACCGTTGTCTGACTTTCATTCTCCTAAATCAACTAAAAGTTTAAGATAACTAATTTATAAACTGAAACAAGTCGGAGTTTTACTTATTTGAGACTCAACACCAGTCATAAAATTCTGCTAAATCTATGTATGATGTCGGAATTGCGTCCAAAAACTACAAAAGAGAGGAAATTAATTCTATAATGAAGTCGTAGGACTGTCACATGAGTAATGGAAAAAAACTCGAGAAACTAAATAAACACATCGTCAGAGAGATTATCATGTGTATATTTTTAAATAAACATATTTTATAAACATGAAAAAAAAATTGAATTACAAAACTGACAATACCACCTGCGCGTAGCGCGGGCTTAATACTAGTATAACTAATAACACTAGAGTTAGTTTGGATTTTGAAATCTATTAAAAAAATTTGACCAGACCAACTTATGTTTCTGAATTTAATGAAATATCATGATAGATATACTAACGATTCATTTCAGATCATCCCTTCATTGTGAGAGTTTAATGGAGAAGGAAAACAACTCAAATCAATTTTTTAACAGAATTTATAATTGTCATTTGAAAGATGAAAGTCTCCCATCTGACTTTTGTCCGAAAATGTGCTTCATCCATTGATGGGAAGTCCTTGCCAAACTTCTGACGAACATGAATTGTATGAAATCTCGGTTTTGACTCCTTGTGTCATTTTATCCGGATAACCTGTAAAGATTTAGGAGTCTTCGAAAACTCTAAAAACACTTTAAAAGCAATAAAACATAATGAAATACTTAATAAAACTTATTGAAAACCATAGTAAAAATAGGCTAAAATACCAGTATATCATTAGATAATATTTTAGATTTCCTAGCTAGTTCACTCTTTCAAATGCAAAAATGTAAAGCGAGTCACACTTATACTCCTTCAAGCTGAGACTACCAGAGCCAATCTTCTCTGCGTCCTTCTCCACCACAATCACGGGTTCGTATATATTCGCTTGCAGTTGTTCATGTCTAGTTCCTTTACTTATTAGAGCGTGAACCTTAAATCCAACCCAAAAAAGGTTTTTTAGTGATTTTCTTTAACCATTTCTCTGCTCCCTCTAGTTTTTTTTTTGGTAATATCTGCTCCCTCTAGTTCTTACAAGTTACAAGTGTTTGTGCTCTTTTGAGCTTCCATATACTGAGCCTGCCAATAATTATTAGAGCGAGAGAGACAACAAAGACGAGAGAATATTCGAGCGAAGTTAGAAACACTGAAGGGTGAAAGAACTCACAGACGAGCCCAAGCTAAACTTTGTACGTGTTTTTAATTTCATTCCACTGGATACCGATTTATCGTAACCCAATAAAAATAATTGTAACGCTACACTGTAGTAGGAACGGAGGGAGTAGATCATAAATATTAACAAACTTATATAGGATGTTGTCCTAAATTCCTAATATATGTGCGGATCTATTTCCAGATTTTCCACATGTTAAGATCTTGCAAACAGCCCATATATCGCGTCTATTCGGGGAAGATAACATGTTTGGCCAAAGCCATGAATCCCATAAACATGTCAGGCACTTGACATTGCAGATGTTGGGTACACAAGGTTTGAGACTGAGGTTGATACAAGATATCGATCTCTTGGCGCGCCAACAGATTGCGATAGGAGCTAAGAATGGCTGTCTTGACATCAAGGAGGCAGGAAGCAAGGTAAAAACTCAACGTAAATACTGGATTGCCATAACCTAAATCTCAATCCATTATCTAACATGAAACTCGCTGTAGATGGTCATTAAATGCATTTCAAAGAAAGTTATGGGAGAAATGGAACCCGAGGCCGCAAAAGAACTCGAACTCTGTTGGGGAGGCTTCCCTGGAGGCTGGTTCCGATTCTTCTCTTGTTCACTTCAATGGAGAAAAGTACGAAGACCCCTTCAAATTCAATCCGTGGAGATGGAAGGTGTTATTTCAATCAATTTGTTTATTCCATTGATTATGTTATCGGAAATTTGAAAGTTCATTAATAATTTTCTTTGGTATTTTTCCCCTAACAACTACTCCAGGGAATAGACTTGAATGCAACCATATCCAGGGAGTATATAAACAAACATTTTTAATTTTATATACCAGGGAAAAGACTTGAATGCAACCATATCCAAGACTTTCATGCCTTTTGGCATTGGTACTAGACTATGTGCTGGGTCTGAATTTGCAAAGATGCAGATTACGTTCTTCATCCATCACTTGTCGTCAAGATACAGGTTAATTTAGTTTAGTTTAACATTATGATTTTTGGGTTTGCTTACGTAATATTTATGTTGGTTGTACCAATTGTTTGCAGATGGTCAATGGACGATGACGTCAAAGTACTTCGACAGTACGTACTATTGTTCCCGAAAGGTAGTAATGTTCGGATCACAGGACGTTACGAACCTGAATAGGGTTCAAATATGAATCATCTCGGAAGATTGCGATGGTGAAAGATTGTCTTGTTTGTTGGTTTAAGTATAAAATAAGGAAGCAAGATTAGTATCATGTCTTTGTGTTTGTGTTGATGTCCTCCAAATAATACTTAATAAGTCATACTTATGTGTTTTTATCAAAAATATGTATGTTATAAAGACATATTATTTCAGTGTTTTATTTTCTCCATATTGTATCTCATGAATAAAATATTATTAAAAAGTTATGCTATAAAATTTTATGTAATACTCTCTCCGTTTCAAGTGTCGTTTTAGAGTTCTAATACATTACATAATTGGGACTATATTCGTACCGAAAACCTCAAATGGAATAGGCCGACTTATCAACTTCGGTGTCATCTGAGATTTGAACATCACATCCATGTGGGAACATAAGCATATACCTTCGAATTACTTTCGTCTCTGCCTTCATTGACCACCTGCAAACCATAAGTATAAATATATAGGTAAGTAAAGACATCGACTATAGTAAATATTAAAGTGAATCATGAGTAACATTAGGTGATAAAAAAAGAAGAACCTGTATCTATACAAATGATGGATAAATATGGACATCACCAGCTTAGCTAACTCAGCGCCTACACATAGTCTAGCACCAGCACCAAATGGAATATAAGTCTTCGTGAGGATTGCTCCCAAGTCTTTTCCCTATTAATTTAGTTTAATATATGTTAGAACATTTATGAATATATGGAATTAGGAGTGTATAAGTAAAGCGTGAAATATCAAATTTTGAATAACCTCCCAACGCCATGGATTAAATACTAAAGGATCATCATAGTTCTCTGGATTGAAATGGACATTAGCATACCCCATGAAGGTCCAACCCTCTGGAATTGTATAATCACCGACTTGGACGTCATGGTCCGTTACCCTAAGAACTGTCGGAAATGTGCTTGTGATCCTTAGAGACTCATTGATCACCTGAAACAAAACAACATCTTTGTCTGAACTATGAATAACTGAAATATATATTACATGCTTTGTGGGATTATAATTAAAACCAGTTAGCAATGAGTCGAAACACAAATATGCTAGCTCATGTACTCACCATTTGAGTAAAAGTCATTGATTTGTAATCTTCCCATGTTAGGCCGGCCTCCTTCTCAGTCCTATCCCGGAAAATTCGCTCATGCTCTCTTTGTAGCTCATGCATGACTTTTGGGTTGTCGCTTATGAGCTTTACCGTAGCCGCAAGAACCCGTGGCGTGTTTCGTTCGCAACAAGAAAGAAGGTATATATGTACTCAATCGCATTCTCGATGCTCATCATTTCCTTCCCGGTTTCTCCAAATATGGTCTTGAAAAACTCCCCAAACTCCTCTCCAGATGCTCTCTTCTTTAAAATGGACTCTTTTAGTAACTTCATCATCTTGTTTCTTGCCTGACACGGAACATCATCAACTTCAATTTCCACCAAAGTTTATGCATAAATAGTACTAATAATGTGACTGAGAATACTTACCTTCATCATCCTATAGACACCCGTCCCAGGAACGTTGAAAGAGAACTGAAACCAGCTACTCGAAAATCTCTCCAACAGAGTGCGAGTTCTTTTACCGCCTCTGGTTCCATATCACCCATAACTTTTTTTGCAAGGGATTCAATTAAGATCTGTATATATAAGTATTTTTAGATGATCCGGTATCCTATATACATTTTCTTATTGGTTGTGATATTATCAAGACACACAGAAAGTGCATGTGAAGAAACTGATAAAATGTATACCTTGCTTGCTGTTTCTTTGACGTCAAGGACCCCGTTCCTAGCTCCTTCCTTCATATGTGTGCAAGCCAAGATATCAATGTCTTGTATCATCCTCGATTTCAAACTATGTGTACCCAACAACTGAGATGTCAAACTCCGGACATGTTTATGGGACTCCTTGCTCTGTACAAACAAGTTATTCTCCCCGAATAGCCGTGCTATGCTCTTCGTAACACCAGGAACATGACTCGTCTTAGCTATCTCCATGTTCAATTCCACATCGGTCGAGATTATAACTTTGGCTCCAAATAAACTTGTTCGAAACACTGGTCCATGCCTATATATTTTGTTTTTTTCCAAGAATGAAAGGGACAAAGCAAGAACATCAAGAAGAAGATCTCTAAACATACAGGATGATATAATGCACGCTGCATAAGTCAGAAAAATAACCTGAATGTTCTGTCCTTAACGAATGTTGAAAACTGAAGAGCGTCATGAGGCTTCATGAACTCAAAAGTCTCTCCAATGATCGGAAAACCATGGATCCTGGAGGTAGTTTTCGTTTGCTTTTTGGATTCCTCCATTGATGGATCCAGTGACAAAGCTTCACCAATATGAGAAAAACTATCACATTACATAACTTAAAGACCTCGACCATACTTGATTTATTTATTTCTTTCTACTATTTCGGAGATGTAGGGGCGAAAGTTTATGTGAAGGAGGCCTCTCGGTTTTCTTTGATAAAAAAATATAATTTTATAAATAAGGTGTTCTCTGGTTTGATTGATATAATTGTATTATGAAGATTAAGATCCAGTTTTTTCGGCCACAAAGTTTAACGGTATACCATGTCTGCCAAACGTTTATGAAAAGTCCACGCTACAAGAAGAACAGTCAAAGATTTGTAATCAATGAAAGAAAGTAGTTGGGTGTATAAATTTTATTTTATTAAACGAATCCTATCCTAAAATAATTACTAGTATGTTATCACTTGGGATTTTCGAATCAATTGACCATCTCAAGACAACAGGACATGACAAATAGTTATGTTATTACTTGGGAATTTCGAATGAAATGACCATCTCAAGACAATAGGACAGGTCTTAAGTGCGCTACAAAGGGTCATGAATATCGAAGTTTTCTTAATTTACAATTTATAATTGTCTGGTATCAATTGCTGCTATGTCAATTTGTGACCTACAGAGTGTAGAATGTGAGTCTTATTCCTCTTTGGAGATATTATAATGCTTTATATACTTGTACATAGGGAAGCTTCTAGGTTAATGTAATTACAGAAACTACCAAGTATGGAGATACGAAATATATTGTCATTAAGAAGTTTCCTTCTTGTCTCCTTTACACGCCCCCTCAAGATGGAGGTGTCTTGACAACTCCAATCTTGTCTCGTAACTCTAGAAACCGTGCTCGTGGTAATGGCTTGGTAAGAGCATCCGCAAGCTGGTCCTTTGTAGTGACATGAGCAATACGTAGAGTCCCTTGTTGAATGTGCCCTCTCACAAAGTGGTAATCCAGTGCTATATGTTTCATTCTAGAGTGAAACACTGGATTGGCGCAGAGGAACGTGGCTCCAACATTGTCACAGTAAACAACTGGTTTGGTTGATGTTGAGATGCCCATTTCTGTGAGAAGGTTAGAGATCCATCTTATCTCGGTTGCATTGTTTGCCACAGCTCGATACTCTGCCTCCGTCGATGATCGAGCAACACCGTTTTGTTTCTTAGCTGACCAGGAAATGGGATGAGAGCCAAGGTAGATGACATAAGCGTTGGTGGAGATGTAGTCATCAGAGTCTACACCCCAGTCTGCATCTGAGAAGCCATGAAGAGAGAGTGAGTTCTTCGCAGAAAAGAAAATACCATGAGTTGTTGCTCCTGCTAAGTATCGAAGAACTCGTTTTGCAGCTTGCCAGTGATCCTCTGTTGGGCGATGCATGAACTGGGAAAGGCGATTCACTGCATAGCCTATATCAGGTCTTGTAAATGCGAGATACAGGAGGCTGCCAACAAGTTTCCTGTAGCTGGTGGGATCCGTGAGAGATGTACCCGACATGAGTGTCAATTTTGGAGAGGAGGCCATTGGTGTGCTGACTGGTTTTGCGTTGAGCATGTTGTAACGATTGAGGAGGTCAAGGATGTACTTCCTCTGAGAAAGGTGTAGTCCCGCTGCAGTGCAGTGAGCTTCAAGACCCAAAAAATAATTGAGATCTTATGGGTCTTTGATAGAGAACCTCTCAGCAAGAGCAGATAATATCTTTGCGATTCCAGACTTACTACTACCAGTGACAAGTATGTCATCGACATAGACTAACAGGTAGAGATAATCATTACCAGTGCGCATGATGAACAAAGACGTATCTGCAAGCGAGTTTTGGAATCCCAAGCTGAGGAGAAATGTCTTGAGTTCAGTATACCAGGCTCTGGGAGCCTGCTTGAGGCCATAGACCGCTTTGTGTAAGCGACAGACATAGTCGGGGTGATCACGATCTATGAATCATGGTGGTTGCTCCATGTAGACTTCTTCATTCAAGGTGCCCTGTAAAAAAGGCATTATTGACATCCAATTGAAGAAGAGGCCAAGATTTTGTGACTGCAACATCTAAAACTGCCCGAATTGTAGTTGACTTGATCACTGGACTGAAGGTGTCAGTATAGTCACGACCAAGTTGTTGATTGTAGCCTTTGGCAACAAGTCTAGCTTTGTGGCGATGATGAAGGCCAGATGATAGATACTTGTTGGTGTACAACCATTTGCAGCCGACTACGTTCTTGTTTGGTGGTCGTGGGACCAGGCTGAAGGTGCGGTTGACTGCATCAGGCATATCCCATCTCACATCGACACCACATACGCCGGAGCACAACGGCATCTCAGAGCGAAAACACAGACACATCGTTGAGACGGGTCTCTCTCTCCTTACTCAGTGTAAAGGATACAAGAAGGAAACTTCTTAATGACTGTATATTTCGTATCTCCATTCTTGGTAGTTTCTGCTTGGTGTGTGCAGGATTGACCGAGGTGACTTCATTAGCAGTGAGTGTCGCTGGTGGTGGAGCATTGGATCCATCGAGATAGCCGGCCAAATCATAGCCATCGAGAAGAGCATGGACTTGGAGACTCCACATCAAGTAGTTGGTGGAGTTGAGTTTGGTAATGTTGGACATGTTGATATTGTGAACGGTTTGTTGAGCAATATCAACTGTATCATTAACGGCTGCCATTGCAGGAAAAAGAAGATAAGAAAAATAGAGGAGGTGAGAGAAGAAAAAGAAAAAAAGAGGGTGGCGGCGAAAAGAGAGAGGAGGTTATTAGGCCTGCTCTGATACCATGTAAAATGTGAGTCTTATTGATCTTTAGAGACATTACAATCGTTTATATATTTGTACATAGGAAGCTTCTAGATTAATGTAATTACAGAAACTACCAAGAATGAAGATACGAAATATACAGAAGTTTTCTTCTTGTATCCTTTACACAGAGTTCTTAACCGCTTATCTCTATAACATTACTTCTTCTTTTTTTTTTACCAAAAGGAGAAGCTATGAGAGCATGCACAATGTTTGATGCTTAATGGAGATGCTTAGCACATATTTTATTATTAAAAGTGTGTTAAGCATCTCTGTTAAGAATTGTCTGTTTTTTTTGTTTCAATGGGAGATTCTTATTTGAGTGCTTAAGAATAAAAGATTTCAGAGTTTGTGGATGATTTTCATGTCTATAGCTTCAGCCAAAATTCCTTTCTCAACATGATCCCACCACTTCATCAAAAAAGTGTCCACCACCAATCTAAACCATGGAGACAGTTTCAAACCTTCCTCACCTGCATCTGCTTTCTTCACCAGCTCCTTCAACTCTTCCCGGCTCAAACACTTGATTTCAGCTACTTCGTCCGGGTTTGATTGAACCTTCAAAAACCTTCCTCTCTGTGTCGATCTAACAATATAATGTGATATCTCTTCTCCTACATTTCGCAATCAAACACTCACAATCCAGCCAATACATGTCTTTGTTCTTTTTTTTTTTTTTTTTTTTTTTTTTTTGTCAACGTCTTTTGTTCTTTTTAGTGAAAACATTTTTATCAAAGTCTCTATAAAAAATTATACTTGAGAAGTCAGTTTACTAACAAAATATATAGAAATATATGAAGCGTGGGCAATTAATTAACTATTAATTGGTTTTGAGTTGTAAGCTAATTCTTAAGTTTTTTTTTTTTTTTTTTTTTTTTTTTTTTGCTAATTCTTAAGTTGTTGCTTAGCTTGCTTTATTTCTTCAATGGAAAGATCAAACATACATCGCAGCGATCGGGACCGTTACGTACAAATGCACCACGACTTTATTTGGACCAACAACCTCGAATGGTATATAACCAGCCGAGTTATCCACTTTGGTGTCTACTTACTGAGATTTTGAACATCACATCCACGTGTAAACATAAGTACATACCTTCAAATAATAAATGTTTCTTAATCTCTCTGTAAAAGTTCAAGAAAGGGAGTATTTAATTTAAAATTTTACGCTGATCTGTCAGCAATTTAGGGACTCTGAGTATACGCCAAACTGAAATGAGCTGACTATCTTTGCTATTAATGTGGTAATGTCACTAGTCTGGCGTTAGGTCAACAAGGTGACAAACACCGTGCATTCACTATTTCTTGGCTCTTGTTCTTTTTTTCTCTCTTTAAACAGAATAATGCATAGCTGACATTTTCATACGTGGCAATGCGACCTTTGTATTATCCATGCAACTCCAGCACACGTGGACATTGTCAGTGGCTGTCTGTCTGTCTGCCACTTGGTCCTCTGCTTCATTTTCGGATCCGCCTTGTAAATGTTTAATATACTAGTACCATATTTAAAATAAATGAGATTTGTTCTTAATTTATTTATGGCCATATTACAATGATAGTCGTTGACAAACAAATAAGAGTGAAAAAAAAAACAGAAGATAGAATGATACTTAGCCTTCAAAGTTGAAAACTATGTGAGATGCATTTTATGTATTATGTTAGTTTTTGACCAATTTAACACACACATATTTTCATGCATGATCAAATCTCTTCTCCATTAGGCTTTTGGTAACTACGTTATAACACCCGAAGAGTTATTTATTTTTCAGATAAAATGAAAGCTTGCATGATTTTCCAACAGGTTACATTTCTTGTATCATATCTTGAAGAAAATGATTAAATGCACCCAAATATTTTATAACGAAAACAACAAGTTGGAGTGCAGATTTTAGACCAAGACACTAGGATTCAGGGAAGCAAAGCCAAGGAGTTCCGGGTTCTGCTCGAAGGACGACATGTTCTCTTCAGGCAGTGTGACAAACGCTTCAACTCCCTGTCCGTCCTTGGAATCCATCAGTATCGCTAGATTGTCAAACGCTGGAGCCACGTTACCGACAACCCAAACCGGAGATCCCCATCCAAAACTGGCCTCGTAAAGTGGTAGCTTGCACCAGCTACTCACGGTGTAGGGCTCGTGAGTCTCAAAGCTCATCCTTGAATAATTAGTGAGCATCAGATTTGCTAGTTTAGAGCCGATCAACGAAGTCTCTTCGTCTTCGATCAAGCCTCGTAAGTCCTCCGCCTTTTTCCGTAACTCTTTAACGGCCTCTTCGATTCCCACTTCCTCTCCTCCACCAATACTCAAGACCGCAGAAGAGAACATGATGTTTCCGATCATGCTTTCTGGCAGAAGAGAAGGTATCTTGGAGCGCAAGTTAGCGAGCTGGATCAGAACTTTGTGATCACAAGTCGTTGTCGACTTTGTAGAGACGAAGCACTTCCAGAGAAGAGCAGTGACGCTCTCCACCCGTGTAGGTCGGTCAACGGCTTTTGCTTTTGCTTTGGTCCTGAGCTCTTCAACCTTAGACGCTTCGAAAACGAATCTCTTCGTGACGCTGCTTCTCTTGCCGGCTTTGTCGTCCACGGGAAGCTTAAAGGCCTCATTTGCTGGTGGGTAGAAGTTAGCTGCAGCAAACTCGGGACCGACCACCGCTTCCCCGGTCTCTCCTCGAGTCATAGCAGACCAAGTCCGAATGAAAGTCGAGATGGAGGCTGCGTCGGCGATTTTGTGGGTGATGCAGACTCCGATGGCCATGCCGCCGCATTCGAAATAAGTCGCCTTCACGAGCAGCAGAGGCCATGTAGCAGCAGCCACGTAAGGGTTGTCTACGGAGTCTAGAGGAAGTAACTGTTGGAGGGCATTTAAATCTGGGGATGTGAGGAAATCAGTGAGAGGACAGTTATCGACACGAGCATCGACAAAGACAGCTCCTTCGTCGTTACAGTCGACAGTGACGCCGTTGATTCTTCCGGCAAGAGGGTAGAACTTGGTCAAGGTTTGGGACAGAGAGGTCTTGAGTTTGCGGGAAGTGTGTTCTTGTGAGATCAAATCATTTTTGGTGTAGAAGAGAAAGGCGACTGTGTAAATGGGAGGAAGGATGTGATCATAGATAGATAGTTGGAGAGTTCGGAGATCGTTTGGAGTTGTGGAAGATGGTTTTATGATTTCTTTAGCGATTGTTTCAACTTTCATTGTCTCCATCAATTATAATTTTCCTCTGTTTTTTTTTTTTTTTTTTTTTTTTTTTTTGATTCTGGTTCTCTTATTTTGACGTAGAGGAGTACTCTTTTTATACAAGTGGTCTTACATAAAAGTCGAAAATCATCTTTGAAAATGTTGTGGTAAATCGTTTAACTTAACCGCATTGGTTATGTCAAACAATTGGTTATGTCAAACAAAACCTACATACCATTTTATTTATTTAAAAATATTGGTGTGGGAAATTATTTAATCATATCGTTTATTTAACCGCTTTAATTAAGTATATAAATTACTTGGAAGAGCTGTACTAATCTTGTCGGCTTTATCTTGAATTTGTTTATTTTTTTTTTTCCAGCTGTTGATGTGTATTATTCTTAGTTATCTTCGTTCGGCTTTATTTCAATTTGTTTACTTTAGTAGTGATGTGTATTATTCTTCGTTATCGTCGCCTTGAATTAACCAGATTTTATTATTCATGTAACATATTTTGTCGTACATAGAATATCAAATTCCTAAATAATCCTCAACCTACTCTAAGAAATTTTTTATAGGCATATTATAATTTATGAAAAAGTAATATATTTAGTATAGGGATGTGTCTATTTAATTTTCAATTATTTATAAATAATATATGTTTTTAGTTTTGTTAAAAAATATTTTATAGATCGGATTGAATATCCGCAGATATTTATTTGTTTTACTCTTTAACACTCGCACCCAGAAATTAATATTATCATGCAATAATCGCCATCCTACTTTAACAATCAACGCTTTATTCATGAGATTTGCTTTCCGGATTCCTAAACCACACATCCTCTGATTTTGGTAAACAAACTCTCTCTCAGTCAATGAGGTGTTGCTTTTTCGTCTCCAACGTAAAATCTCATATAAAATCTCTCAAAACACAATCCAAATCTTTGGCAATCAACTCTAGCAGTCTAATTGAACTTATAGTGTTGACTGAGATCGAGCCTAATACCACCTTTGATAGTGTAATACGCCATGCTAAACTCAACATCTTCCATCCTGCGAGCTTCGATGGAATTTGAAATCAAGTTAAAATGTGTTATAAATTATGATTGAATTATATATTGGAGTTAACTTTTTCTTTTAACTCAAGCTTAATATATAGAAGCCTTTTATATTCCAATGAATGACTAAAAATTCATTAATAACTTCTATATTAAGAGATTTGGATTTGGATCGCCAAAATGCATACTCAATTCATAAAAAAAAACAAATTGTTCATAAATTATAAAAAGATATATTTAAATTCTCTAAATACAATATTCAATAACACCTTTTGTAGTTAATATGCACATCGATTGACCTAATGCTCTTTCCGTAGTTAATATGTGCATATCCCTAATTCGACTCAAAAATGTCTTGCTCGAATCTACATAACTAATAAGGCTTGGACAATCTCAGCCTTTGACACGTGGCACTCTTTTTTTTTTTTTCGCCTAACACCAAAACGACGTCGTTTTGGCTTTATTTTTTTTTTTTTTTTTTTCGTCTTACACCAAAACGACGTCGTTTTGCGCTTTATCTTTTTTTTTTCGTCTTACACCAAAACGACGTCGTTTTCGTATTAAAAAAAAAAAAAATCTAAATCAAAATTATGTGTAATGCTGTTCGTTTTGATGGGCTTGATTATTTATCGGACCTCTTCGTTTCCATGGTAGCTTTAAATGGGCTTACTGGCTAATTAGCTCATTTCATTTCCTTTTAAAAAGGATTGCAATTATTATTATCTATGAGTCTGTAGGATAATAATCAATCTATAATGATTGTTAGTATAAGGAAAATTAGAAGAACTCAACTCCAGTCGATAAATTATTGTATAAAAGAACAAAAAACATATGAAACTATTCACTATGAGTCTATATAAGATTTCACGTAAATAACAACTAAATTTTAAAACTATATGAAAAAAAACAAAATGCAAAACTTACAGAATCTAATATATTCGAGTAAAAAACAAATGATATATTCGAATCTAATGTTCTGAATAATTAAATTAAAAATATTTGGTTTAATAAACCCGCGCATTGCGCGGGTTCTCTCCTAGTTTACAATTAATGGTTTCAAAAGAAATGACTAAAAATAAGGTAGACAAATTATTAGACCTTCGACTCCATATATTTTATTATATAAAGTTGGATGCGCGAGATGTGGTTGCGACATGTAGGATTTTTATAAATTATAGGATCGCAACATGTGTCACTTTTTAAAATTATATCCGTTAAGATTGTGACACGTGTCTTGAGAAAAAAATACAAAAAATAATAATTAAAAAATGTTAGATAAAGGAAAAAAATTAATCTATTATAGTAAAAGAAAACAATTATATAAAAATTATATTTGTCATATCCTAATAAAAAAAGGTTTCAATTTATCATATCCTAATAGAAAAAGGTTTCAAAAACTATATTTGACACATATTCAGTTCAAAATAACGAAATAAATAAAATCCTATTAGTACATGGAATAGGTTATGTAAACTAAATTTTCTATAACTACATGGAATATGTTACATGAACTCCAATAAAAAAGAGAGTTAATGTAGTTTTTTTTTTCTCATCTACAAACTCATCAAAGCAAATTTATCAATCCTATGGTAATGGAGTCTTCTCCTCTTTTTAATAATTTATCAATATAAGTTCTTCTTTTATTGTTAGATTGTTTCTAACATTTTTTTTACTTTTAAAATTTGAGGAGAAATAGTTTTTATATGAAGCAACTATCATCGATATTGATTTACGTGATGGATGGAACCATGTAGCATGTTCAGTTTGCCATAAAAATTTGAAAAAGTTAGAAGGTTCCATATTCTAATGGAGAAAAGAAAAAAAATAAATTTACAAGCTTTATATTTTAAGATAAATATGAACTATATTCTAATGGAAAGAAAGAAAAAGAAGTATCTTCTATATCTTACCTAGCCAAAGAAAAAATTATATTTTCCATATTCTAAAGGAAAAAGGAAAAAATTGCATGCCTCATATTTTAAGATAAAAAGGTTCTATATTCTATCGGAAAAATGAATTATTTTTGCAGGTTTTATATTCTAGAATAAAAAGGTTTCATAAACAAATGGATCGAAATCGAAATTATCGTCGAATTATAATTTGTATTATTCGAAAATGGGAAGTTATAAATCATGAGCTTCTATTACATGACTATTACTATATATTATGTTATTAATATATTTTTATCGGATTTTCAATATTATTTTAATGTATATTTAAGAATAGACATATTTTGTTTAATATGTTTTAGAAACTCCGCGTATACACTCGGGGCTTAACTGATATAGGATATTAGATGTGGACAAATCTATTTATTATTAATCGGTTTTAAGTAGGTAGCACGTGAAACTTAATAAAGTAAAAATATGACAGCGCGTATTCATCTAACTTGATGAGTGCCACCACCCCACTCTTAAAATCTGCCTCTGCTAGGCCGGCCGTATGTATTTTATCGATGGCCCCATATATTCAACTCCGTCTAATCTGCCAATGTGGTTCTGTTTCGACTCTTAATAAAAATGATTCTTGTTACAGAGTCTGTGTTCAACAATTTAATTTCACTAATAAAAAATATAAGAGAACCTAACAGCAAGACTAGTTTTATTTAAACTAAACACAGTCTAAATCCAAATGAGATCACGGGGAAATTATAATTGTAGTTCATTAAGAAATTTTATATCTCGAGGTAATACATGTGTGTTTGCAACCTTCATCGTCTCGATCCGGTCATAACTGTAATTGAGGAATATTATTAAATATAAAAACTGGTGGAATTAAATGAAGATTTGTTGCAGAATCTATCTGATTAGTTAGTAATTAGAGATTATACTCCGCACAAGTGTGGGATTTTATTTCGGTTAATCATCATTTATGTATTTTTATTGTTTTTTATTTCTTGTTCTCTATAATACTGAAGTTTTGTAATAGATGCGGCCGTTGTGTCTACTTTAAATGTTTTAGATAAGATTTTTCCAAAGATTCGATAACTATTTTTATGATTTATTAGTATTTGCATGAATTGTTATTATCTTTGTAATACAAAAAAATAGTTGTTTAGTGAACTTAGAATTTCTTCTAATCACTATTGACCTTCTGATTTTCTAACAACTTGTCTAAATTCTTGTTAACATTATCCCGAGCTATGCCCGCCTCTTAACCACATTCAACCACCATCTCAATCACCTTTTGAGCCGTGCTCTTTGTCGTTTTCCATGCATATTTCACAATGTCTGTAACATCCGTAAACCAAAAAGGTGTGATTTTTGGTTGGTGTCGAGCGACACCAAGGAGTGGTGTCGGTCGACACCGGTTATTCGAAATTCGATCGGTTTGTTTTAAGTCAATTGAAATCCGGTTTAGGTCCGGTTTGGGTCGGAAACCCTTGAGTCTTGGATAAAAAGTCGCGCATCCGCTTCCTCTTCCTCGTTTTTGTCGTGTAGCGAACAGAAGTTGAGAGGAGAAGTGAGTTGAGGTGATTGTCGATCGATTGAGGCCTGTTCGTCGTTGTTTTGGAGCCTCGGTCGTGGTTGGTGGCTGTTGCGTCGTTGTTCTTCGCTGTTTCGTCCTGTTCATCTTCTTCCTTCGATTTTCTTCCCTTTTCAATCTGAAATCGAGGTGAGTGCATGACTGTGGGTCCGTGATTGCTAGATTCAGGTTATGTATGTGATTGTGTGTTGATTTGTGATGTTATGGATGTGTTTCGTTGTTGATTTGAGTTGTTTGATAATTTTCTCTTATTTCCTGTGTTTAGAGTACTGTTCATAGCTCGATCTGTAAAACCTGTAAATTGGTGTCGAGCGACACAAAGCGTGTTGACACCATAAGGCTTGTGTCGACCAACTCTCAATGGTTATCTCCGGTTTAAATTGATTTAATTGGTATAATTGGAATTGGCTGGTTTAATTGAATTGAAATTGGTTTATCCGAATTGGATTAGTTTTATCTGACATTTAGTTAATTATTGGTTATTTAATTAATTAAATTGTTTAAATAATTATATTAACTATTTATAATTATAGAAAATTATTATTAAATTATGGAAATTATTTAATATGAAAAAGTGACATTTTAATAATTATTGGAGTTTATAATAATTATTTTAATTGCTAGTAAATTGTGTAAATGGCATGTAGGCAGAGTGATTGCCTCACTAAGTATTTATGATAATACTTACGCAAGTCTATTCCAGTGTGTTGCAGGTAAAAAGTTTATGTGATCGCGGAATCAAGGCTGAAGAGGGGATGATAGGATTTATTTATTTGCATTGTTTAAGTTGTTAGATTTATTTGTTTAATTTTTTTTGCTTCCGCTGAATTGATATTGTTATTTGATTTATTTATTTATTTTATTTTAAAGACATTCGCTAGAATTGCGTAGTATTTATTATATAAAAAACTGTTGGTTGTTTTTGTGTCTATAGTTTTCTCTCCAACATTTTAGTGTTTATTGAAGATACAAGGATTCCTGCAATTACAAGAAGTCCTGAAGTTGGAAGTTTCGATGGCGGGAAACCAGACGCGTGTACTCGGAGACGATGGTGATGTGGACCATGTGCCTAACAAACGAAAAGAATAAGAAGATTTGTGAGTGGAGCGAACAGATGAGTTGTTCAAACTGCAGGAACAAAGTGAGATGTGACAGGCTGCAGAGCAGCTTGGACGTGACAAGACTCGTGGAGCCGCTGAAGAAGCGATGGACTACAAGAATTGGCAAAAGTCAAGAGCTATTGTCAGTGGCTAAAAGTCAAGAGAGTCACGTGGCAATCCAATGGTTATTCGAAAGTCTTAGGCTTTTGAGACTTAAGTATATATAGCATGGTAAGAAATGGCTATCTCTTTTGTAATAGAAAAGACCACTGTTTCTGTGTGTGAAGAACATTTGGTATCTAAAAAAACTGGGTTTTCGGTGAATGAACAAAGAAACATCAGTTGTTGTTGTGTATGTGAAATTGGGTATATTAGGATTTAGTGTAGGAGCAAATCATAAGTATGATATTGCGATTTCCTGCTTAAACAAGATTGTAAAGAGTTTTGTTTTAATACTAGAGTTTAGATATATAAAAAAAGACCGTATATCTCTTTGATTTGCTCTTGTGATGATATAGTTGCGATGATATAGTTCAGATTAACTCTTCAGAGCATGTGCATTGCATATTGTGATAGGTTCTTTAACCAAAAATAAAAGAAAAAAATGAAAAAATTATACACTTGGCAAGCTCAAAGCCTAGATACTTTTCTTTAGGAAGAGATTTTGGAATCGTCTCTCTGATACAACTGGCCATATGTCATAATTTAATTGGTTCCTTCCTTTTTTTTTTTGAAAAACCGTTTTTTATTTATTTTTTTCGAAAATCAATTTTTTCTTTTTCCAATTCAGGCTGTGCAATGCACATGCTCTCAGTGTCTAAGTTGATTTGTATGTGGGTGATTCCTTTCTTCATGGCTTCGTTGAGTGCTGATCTGATTGATAAAGCTTCGACTATCAAAAAGCTCTTGTAACAAAAAAAAGGAGGAAAATCTAATTTTTCGCAAAAAAAAGAAAAGAAAAATTCCAAAAAAGCTCTCATTTTAAAACGAAGGGACACATGGAAGTATTTGATAATCCTATTCGTACCGTTCTGCAAGTTGTATATTTCAATTTACTTACAATTTTTTTTTTTTTAAAGTTGCCCCACCAAATCTAATTTGTCTTATTAGTAATCTGAAACATTTTTAATTTTAGTTTCTCTGTTTTATTTAGTTATTTTCAACTAAAATATATTAGTTTTTCTGCTAACCACTATGCATAACAAATTAATAATAAGTCATGGGCTATGATGGGGATAATAAAATATGATAAACAAACAAAAAACTAGAGATAATGCATGCATTTGAGGTATTGCCCGAACCAAATGGTAACCAAATTATTTTAGGTAATAATCCAAACCGTTTCGGCTATGAAAGAATCCGAACCAAAATTATTAGAGTAATACACTTTTTGATGTGTTAATTTTCAAAACTACATTTTCTAGTGTTAATTTTCAAAATGATATTTTTCTTAAATTTAATATTTAAGCTTCGGTTCATTAATCCTTAATTAGAGTTTAGATTCGGGGGTTTAAGATTTTTATTTAAGTGTTTCAGGTTAGATTTTATGATTTAGGCTTTAGATTTTTGATTTAAAGTTATTTTATTCAACAAAAATGTAATTTTAAATATAAACATACGAAAAATGTAGTTTTAAAAATTTACATAAAAATATTTAATTTTGAAATTTTCCCAAACTATTACCGTATTACGGATTCTATATCGACATAAAATTTAAGGATTTATATACTGGACAGACCCGTAATTGATGGGATTCAAATATCTAAAATTCCTGACCTACTTCTAAATTTTATAAACGTCCACTAGACAATAACTTGAAATTAAAACGTTTGAAATTAAAAATTTAAAACACTTGAAATTAAAATTTTAAGACCTACTCCTATTTATATAGGGATATAAATTTAAAAAATTTATATATTCAGACCTGACTCGAATATCTGAAATTTCAGACCTACTTCTATTTATACAGAAGCAGTCTAAAAATATTTCTGAACTAAAGCAATGAAAAAGGGAAAATCCCATTTTAAACCATTAAAATGACAAATGTTAGTACTTTAAAAATTTTAAGATTTTTTCACTAGTACTTCAAACCCTCAAACAATTTTTTCTACATAGTAAACCATGATACTTAAACTCTGGCAAAAATATCTTAACGGAAAGAAACTTATAACTATTTAAATAATCATAATCTACTAATTATTTTTATTTGATGTGTTTTTTGAGTTAAACAAAATGATTTACATGCGAAGCTTGTAGGGTTTTGTCATCGATTGATCCCAAGTGTAATATCCTGGTTTGTAATAAATGAAAAAAGGTTTTAAAAAAATTGATTTGACTACCTATGTCAACAAAGTGCATTTATCTTTTCGGTCAAAGGTCATAAGTAACTCTAGAGTTAAGCGTACTTGGACTGGAGTAGTGGAATGATGGGTGACCTTCCGGGAAGTGATTTCCGAAATCGTGTGAATAAGGCTAAAACACAGAAAAAAATTGAATGTTGATTGCATGGATAGTAAACAAGATCGAATCTTGTAAGGAATCCTTTATTTCTTGTCCTCTTCACTAATAAAACTATCATATCTTCTTGGGGTTCTTTGAAAAATACCTTATTTGTGTTTAGATATTTGAAAAATACCATAATTGTTTTTATGTTTTGAAAAATACACTTTTTATATATAAGAAGACTGTTTAAACCTTATTTTAACAAAGAATTACTGAATAATTGTTAATTAAATACAATTTTTGAAAATATTATGATGAATGATATCAGTTATTTAAAATTTAAAACATAGAAATTGATAAAATTAAAGAAAATTTGAAAATTTGTCTTCAATAAATTTAATTATTTGTGGAATCTTATATAAACAATTTTAATATCACACATAATCTTTTTTTCATCAAACATTGACCATAAAATATTGAGCCACAAAAAAAAAAGAATAGTATGATATAAACTTTTTAACAGATAATTATGAATTTTTTTTATAAGTTCAAAATGAAAAAAAAAAATCAATATCAAATCATAATTTTTTTAAAATTTTTTTTATTAAATAAATTTCGTTTTGAATTAGTTAGAAACTTTAAAGTAGGATAATTTAGTCTTTTTTACATAAAAAAGTGTAGTTTTCAAAACCCAAAAAAATTAGGGTATTTTTCAAAATAAAAACTGATATTAGAGTATATTTCCAAATTTTCTCTATCTTCTTTTTATTGGTTTCTCCATACTTATCGGTTCCTTACTCCGTCGACTAAAGTATTCACGTTAGATCGGTTAATAGGTACCAAATTATTAGGTACGTATGATGATAATCTTAAGGGTATAACGAAGTCAACCCTAAATAAATTGCGCAAGGAAGCAAGATAAAGTGCACCTTTATCGAAATTTTGAGTTTATACACCGCAACCACTTTCTTCAATTAAAGACGATTTCTTAACAAAATCATAATATAAAATCTCGTATAGTCCAACCACTTTCTTAAATTTCCAAATTTCCCATCGGATACTCAATAGCGTGAATTTTATAAACGTCCACCAGATAATATAGTATAAAACGCTTGAAACGTGATGACAGAAACTAGAGATTCCCACCATCTTTTTTTTTTCCTTTCTTTTATTCTTGTGTTGTTTGAATCATTCTCACATGTACTTAGATTTAAATTTAACTCTTAATGATTTACTCTTAACAAATTTCCAACATAACCTTGGAATTTTTATGAAAAAAATCGTCTGATGAAGACAAGAAAACCAAATATATGTTTGGTAAAAGTGTAAAACCGTTACTTTATTATATAATACATTACTGTTTTATTCATTCCTACATTCATATCACTGTATCTTTGTATTGTTGTAGCTTGCAAGTATAAATGATTGTTGCAGCTTGCAAGCCAGTACTATTAACTCGGTGGCACGAACCCACATACGCTCCATAATCTTTGTATTGCTCCCATTCTTATACATCTCCATAATCAATGTTATCGTTATGCATTTGTGGACCCAGCTTCGTTCAGATATGAATTCATAATTTTTGGGCAATTTGTAAATAAAAATATAACGAAAAAGTGGTTGTTATCATCCATGTTTAATTCCAATAAAAACGTGTTTAATTTAATTTGATAAAGAAAAACTCTTTTGCAACTTGTATACTTTAAAACAAATCTCTAATGAATACTCCTTCCGTTTTTTTTTTCTTTTTTAGTTGTGTTATGAAGTTTTTCACGTAGATTAAGAAACTAACTAGCATTATTGTTTTACCCTTATTAAATACATTTTTTGTTTGATATTATTAGTTAATAAGTTAAAAGAATAGAGATAAAACTAAAATTTATCAAAAATATACATTGAAAATGTAAAAGGATAAGTAAAAAACAAAAATAAAAAGTCCACAAGTCAAACAGAGGGAGTACGTTTTAGGAATCGATGATAGAGCGAACACTAGTATAAAGAGAGTACCCCTCCCTCATAGAGTCATTCACCTTTAAATTAGTTGAAAGAAAGAAATAAATCAACATGGTAGAAGTTTATGAGTTTTGGACTGTGATCGTTTCACTCATAGTGGTGAAGCTATGTCACTTGATCTATAAGTGGAGAAATCCAACAACTAATGGAAAGCTTCCTCCAGGGTCGATGGGTTTTCCAATCATTGGAGAAACTTTCGAGTTCATGAAATCTCATGACGCTTGTCAATTTCCAGAATTCGTAAAGAAGAAAATCATCAGGTTACTTTAATTTTATTTAGCGTAGTACTTTAGCCACTTACCGTGTTTAATTTTCCTTTTTTTTTTTGAAAAAAAAAACAAATAGATATGGACCACTTTTTCGGACAAGTTTATTTGGAGCCAAGATTATAATCTCGACCGATATTGGGTTGAACATGGAGATAGCAAAGACGAATCATATTCCTGGTATGCCGAAGAGCTTAGCACGACTATTCGGGGAGAACAACTTGTTTGTACAGAGTAAGGAGTCCCATAAACATGTCCGCAGCGTGACAACCCAGTTTTTAGGTTCACAAGGTTTGAAACTGGGCATGATTCGAGACATGGATCTCGTGACTCGCACACACATGGAGATAGGAGCTAGGAACGGCGGTTTTGACGCCAAGGAAACAGCGAGCAGGGTAAGAAATAATTTATCCATTTCGTTTTGAATTTAACGTTGTGCCTAGGACCATATGTCAGGAGAACGAAACACTAAATATAAGTTTAACATCTCCATGGTGAAAGCGTAAAAATATTTAAAAAAGAAAGATGTCCTAAAATAGAACATTTTCAATTTTAAGCACACTGAATTTAAATTTCCAATAATAGTACAAATTATGGTATGAAAGTACTTGTTTTCAAACATTTGATCTAAACAAACAAATAATGCTTATTCACCTTATATAAATTACATAAAAATCTAAAACATTATTTGGATTCACAATTTCTACTTTAGGGTTTATATATTTTTATTAAGAAAGTGGTCGGAAATATTAATAACCTTTTCAGAAAAAGATATTAAAATTTTGTGCTCCTATTGGAACTTTTATTTATTGGAACACCTTATGAATGTGCTATTTTAAAGAACTAGTGACTAAAGCCCCGCGCAAGCGCGGGGTTGTTTGCGTTAGTTTTTATGTTTAATTTTATTCATCTTTGTTGATTTGATTTATGATGGTTTTATGTTAATATCTATGTTTTAATTATATTTTGACTAACCCAATCACTCACACTAAAGATCAATTTATTATTATTTTTTTTGTTAAGATATTAACTTTACACTTCATGTCTTCATGATGAGCTTTCTTCTAACAATTAGCATGCTTTAAAGTTTAATTATTATGTTGGTTCATTTTTATTAAACTTTAAACATGCATTTGACTCAACATTTGTAAACATGATGTGAAATCGCATTTCACTTCAAATATGATATAAAATAATAGTATGTATTATTTTTTACATGCATATATGCTTTAGGTTGTGGTAATGTCTGAACACCATTAATTATTTTCTGTCATGTTAGTTTTGTAAATATAAATATTATTTTTAAAAAAAAATTGTTACAATCTTTTAAAAAAGCATGATTTTCGTTGCAATGAAATATACATATAACAAATTAACTTCTACTTGTTTTAAAATCAAACTCTAATATTAATATCTCGTTAGCTTTCTACTATATCAACTAAATTATATTCTACATTTTTTAATTTGTAAACAAATTATAATTTTTTTTGAATGAATCATTTGAATAAAAAGCTAAATATATACTATTTCAAGTTAAATATTTATATGCTTCATCTCCATTTTATATATTAACTTTATTTTACCTTTTAGGATCAAGTTATCACATGCTTTATAGATTAATTATTTTTTGTATATTTGTCTTAATTTTATTTATGTTTAAAAAAGTATAAGTTAAGGAATATGAATAGACATATATTGATAAATATATTAAATACAGGTTGATGTTTTTTGGCTAATGTGGCTAGCCTAAATGCAGATAACTCCCTAATTATATATAAGATTATATTTTAGGCTCTAATTCTACCCAACGTTCTTCATAAATTTATCTTTTTCAGGTTTTTATTGTTGTTTTTGAAAAAAATTGAATTAACTAGATTAGTTAAGTTTGGATCATCTCATCAAATAATAAAATAAAACACTACAGATCTTAATGGAATGTCTTGCGAAGAGAGTTATGGGAGAAATGGAACCAGAGGTGGCAAAAGAACTCACAAAATGTTGGATACATTTTCCAAAGGGATGGTTTCGATTCTCATGGAACATTCCTGGAACTGGTGTCTATCGAATGATGAAGGTACGTGTTTTTGCTTTTTACCTCAATTCATTTAACCTTGTAATAGCATTACATACGCATATAGGGTTTGGAGAAAAATAATTGAGGTAACGGTGTTCTTGGACAGGCAAGAGAGCAAATGATGAAAATACTAAAAGAGACGGTGTTCAAGAGAAGAGCATCAGGAGAGGACTTGGGGGAGTTTTTCAATGTCATGTTTGGGGATATGGAAGGAGGAGCGGGAAAGATAAGCGTAGAGGAGGCGGTCGAGTACATATTTATTTTCTTTTTGATTTCTAACGAATCAACGCCAAACGTTCTTGCGGCTACTGTAAAGCTCATAAGCGAAAATCCCAAAGTCATGCAAGAATTGAAGAGAGAGCATGATCGAATTTTCCGGGGTAGGAATGAGAAGGAGACGGAGGCTGACCTAACATGGGAAGACTACAAATCAATGACTTTCACTCAGATGGTGCGTATGCGCCAAAATCATATATACGCAGGTTTTAAGTTGGAAGTCCATGAACCAACGTTTACCATATTATATATATTAATTAGTTCATGCCAACATATTATTTGATGTCAGGTGATAAATGAGTCGCTCAGGCTCACAAGCACGGCGCCAACTGTGCTTAGAATAATTGATCACGAGTTCCAAGCTGGTGATTATACAATTCCAGCTGGTTGGCTTTTCATGGGCTATCCTAATGTCCATTACAATGCAGAAATGTACGATGACCCTTTAGCATTTAATCCATGGCGCTGGAAGGTGATTTAACCTGTTCTATTCTTCATCCTTAATTTACTTATTTACCCAAATTTCATTGGTCAGTTTGTAGGATGTTAAACATATATTAAAGTAAAAATTTCAGGAAAAAGACTTGACTGCAATCCTCTCCAAGACTTTCATTCCCTTTGGCGCTGGTTCTAGACTATGTTTAGGAGCTGACTTCGCTAAGCTGATGACAGCCACTTTTATCCATAATTTGTTTAGATACAGGTTATTTTTTTGTCACCTTATTAATGACTATGATTTAATTTAATTTGTTTACTGCAGTCAAAATTTTTACTCACATATATATGTGGTTGTACTTGTATAGGTGGTCAATGAAGACAGAGACTACAGTGCTTAGAAGGATCATACTTATGTTTCCAGGAGGATCTGATATTCAAATCTCAGGGGAGACCGAAATGGATAACTCTTCTGGTTATTAGAGTTGTTATATTCCATTTGAGGTTGTTGGTTCGAATCCTGGAGTAAACTACACGAAATGCTTTGCATAAATGATAAATTCGAGATGGTACTGACTGTTGTGATGTGTTATATCCATCCTGTAGGAAGCTGTGGTCAGAGTCTATGCTTCTAATGAATAAAGAAATAAAGTGATCACCTAAGCACTTTTATAAGTTTTATAATGATAGTAGTTTGATACATACATCCCAATCAATTTCCTTCAATTTAAAGATCATTTCCTTAACAAAAGGATAATATAAAAACTAATACAGTAACCACTGGCTTGAATTTCCTAATCTCTTATCCGATACTCGAAAGGGTGGACTATATAAACGTTTACCAGACATTATAAAAGGCGTGAAACTTGATGACTGAGACTAGAGATTATCTGGTGGTTTTCTAATCATTCGCACATGTATTTGGATTTAAATTTATATTCCGAATGGCTTAGTCCTAAAAAATTTCATATGAAAAACTCGTCTGATGATAGGAAATAGTACTACTAGCTTAGTAAGTTTACCCAGTATAACTTTCCTACCAAATGAAAATAAAATATATATATATATATATATATATATATAACATGGAGATAGCAAAGACGAATCATGTTCCTGGTATGCCAAAGAGCTTAGCGCGGCTATTCGGGAAAACAACTTGTTTGTGCAGAGTAAGGAGTCCCATAAACATGTCCGCAGCTTGACAACCCAACTTGTAGGTTCACAAGGTTTGAAATTGAGAATGATTCAAGACATCGATCTCTTGTCTCGCACACACATAGATGAAGGAGCCAAGTACTGCGGTCTTGACGTCAAGGAAACAGCAAGCAAGGTAAGAAATAAGCATCCATTTCGCATTGCCTCTTCGCAGAAGAATTCGAATCTACTAGGTTACTTATAAGTTTGGCTCATCAAACGTTATAGATCTTAGTTGAATATCTTGCCAAGAAAGTTATGGGTGAAATGGAGCCAGAGGCGGCAAAAGAACTCACACTATGTTGGAGACATTTTCCAAAAGGGTGGTTTCGATTCTCATGGAACATTCCAGGGAATGGTTTCTATCGAATGATGAAGCACTACAGGAAAAAAGAGTATTCTTAGCATCCGAAAAACGCTATCTAACAATATAATAGCATTTTAACAAGCGCTTTATCATCGCCCGTCATTGTAGGTCTGACACTTTAGATAGCGGTTTTTGTTATTGCTATCTTTTTAATTTTTAATATAGCGTTTTCCCGCCTGCTATTATATGATATACAATAGCATTTGGATTTTGTTATTAATACTATTATTTTTAATAAATTGGGTTTTAATTTTATATTTTAAATTTCAGATTTTAGATTTTAAATTTCGAATTCTAAAAAATCATAATTTAATTTACAAGAACAATAAATAAATTAATTAATACTACTAAAAATATTTTACAAGAAATTGTTTTTCTTCATATCTACTAGTTCTAATCTTTTCTAGTCTAAGTTCTCAGAATAATCTCAGCAGATCTCTACAGCCTCAAGCTGGCTGAGCCACCTCAATCACCAAGGCTACTCCGCCTTCCCGAACAACTGTTTTGGCAGCTTCATGGTGCAATCTAGCATCTTAAACGCCATATATGTGCTCGTAGGCAGTGGTAACCTCCGTCCCACCTGAAGCAAAACCTTAAACTCATCAGAGCTGCTAGGAGAAGAGACTATCTTATCATAATCAAAACCAAAAAACTGCAATAGCTTAAAGAGTAAACGATACAAAATTATATATTATTCAATACACCGAACTTAGGATATTCAAGAACACAAGAAGTTTCAAACCTGAATACCAAAAGAATAGGAGAAGCACTTATAACTCGAACAAAGACATAAACTTGAACTGCTGGAAAATTCTTAAACAACAAGCAAAGAAAATAATAAGGTTTCGTCAAGAAATAAGACAACCCAGATAGAACCAAACAAACCAAAAGTAGAGTCATTGCAGAGGTCAGTATGTGCTAAGTATACAGTAATAAAGCAAGCAACTCAAAAGAAAAGGGTCTCACTCACCAGTGGTGATGGTTTGAAACCATTCATGACCAGCTGTATCCCAAATTTGGAGCTTGATGAGTTTGCGATTAAGGTACGTACGTGCATGTTTTTATGTTTTTAATTTATCTAACGTTTTAATAGCATTATATATGCATTAGGATTTGGGGAAGAATAATTGAGGTGATTGTCTTCTTGTATATAGGCAAGAGAGCAGATGATGAATATACTAAAGGAGACGGTGTTGAAGAAACGAGCATCAGGAGAAGACTTGGGGGAGTTTTTCAAACATCATGTTCGGGGAAATGGAAGGAGGATCGGAAAAGCTAAGCATTGAGGATGCGACTGAGTACATATTCACCTTCTTTTTGATTGCTAACGAAGCAACACCAAGCGTCCTTGCGGCTACAGTAAAGCTCATAAGCGATAACCCTAAAGTCATGCAAGAATTTAGGAGAGAGCATGAGCGAATTTCTCGGTATAGGAAGAGAAAGAAGAGGCCAACCTAACATGGGAAGACTACAAATCAATGACTTTCACCCAAATGGTGAGTATGCGCCACAATCATATATACACATATGTGGCGGACCAATAAATAATTTTAACGGGTGCATTTAATATGAAACTATATATCATTGGAAGTCCATGAACTTTGACATATTATATATTGGTTTCGTTAATGCAAACATGTTGTTTTGTTTCAGGTGATAAATGAGTCACTTAGACTCACAAGCACGGTGCCGGTGCTCAGAATGATTATTCAAGAGTTCCGAGTTGGTGGACTATACAATTCCAGCTGGTTGGATCTTCATGGGCTATCCAAATGTTCATTTCAATCCAGAAAAGTATGATGACCCTTTAGCATTTAATCCATGGCGCTGGAAGGTAATTTTGATTTGTTCTTCACGCTTTACTTATTTTCCCCAACTAATCAGTTCATAGAATGTTAAACATATAGATTAAACTAAATTTTCAGGAAAAAGACTTGACTGCAGTCCTCTCCAAGACTTTCATTCCCTTTGGCGCTGGTTCTAGAATGTGCTTAGGAGCTGACTTCGCTAAGCTGCTGATAGCCACTTTTATCAATCATTTGTTTAGATACAGGTTTTTTGGATCTGAGATTCAAATCTCACAAAACACCGAAGTGGATAACTCTTCTGGTAATTAGATAGGTTATATCCTATTAGAGGTTGTTGGTTCGAATCCTGGAGTAAACTACACGACATGCTTTGTATACTCTAGATGGTACTGAACTACTGATTGTCCTTCCATCTTGTAGGAAGCAGAGGTTAGAGTCAATGCTTTCTAAGGAATAAATAAAGTTAGCTCAGTACTTTTATGTGCGTACTACAAGAAAATTATCGTATTGTATTTGTAAATTGTAACTGTTTAATTTCGTCACAATAAAGAGAATTTCTGTCATATGATCTTCACAAACTTTTGTTTAAATCCACATAGTGAAAATTATGTTCATTAACGATAACGCAACATAAGAAAGAGCTCACAATCAAAAAAACCTAACACTTACATACCGACTGGATAAACTAGAAAAAAATGTCGCATGAACTTACATGCATGGCGGTCTACATGTAATTTCGTTTATTTGCGGAAGTTCGACCTATTCTGATTCTGTTGTAGACGAATAAATCCTTTTTTATATGATAGAGGATACAAAGTGAGATAGTTTCAAACTATTTTTGTACAAGAATAAAAAAATATTCTAAGACCATCAATTCAATTTTGTAAGTTCGTATTATGGGCCGGCTATGTTGCCATTGTGAAGCAATATGGCAACATAAAGAAAATATGTGTTAGGGAGGCAATTGCATCATAAGAAATAGTATTATATTGAGATCAAAGTCAAACGCCATTATTCATTTTTAAAATCCACTAATTTCTAGTATAAAAAAGCTCTAAAAAGTGCTTCGTCTGAGAAATAAATAAAAACATTCGTCGAAACGTCAAACGTTGATACAGAGGGAAAGAGAGAGTAGTGAATAATGGCGTTTAAGGGTTTAGCGGTGTTTTCGATCCTTTTGTTATCTTTGTTCGCTTCATCTACAAGAAGCGAGCAGACGAAGGAGTTCGTCTTGACACTGGATCACTCTAACTTTACAGAAACCATCAACAAGCACGACTTCATCTCCATGGTAATCTGAATTTTACCTTTATTACTCCGTTTGTTCAAGCTTAATCAAGAGATCTCTGTTGACATAGATCGCCATATAGGCTGGTTTGTGGGTTTATCTTATTCGTTTTGTGTGGATTAAGTGTTCCTACCTTAGAAATCAAACCTTTTAGGATAATATTTTGGTACTAGTATGTTTGATCTCCATTTCATTTGGTAATTCGATATTTTGCTATTTCTTCAGGTGTGGTCACTGCCAGAAGCTTACTCCTGAGGTGAGAAATTGATTTCTTAATCACTTGACTTAAGTTATGATTTGTGTGTGGATTTTATTGTTTTGTTTTTGTTTTCAACGACTAAATTTCATGTAGCCATATCTCACATGGGTCTATTTGCTTTCAGTACGAGAAGGCTGCATCAGATTTAAGCAGTCATGACCCTCCTCTCGTTCTTGCCAAGATTGATGCCAGTCAGGAAGCAAACAAAGGATTTGCAAAAGAGTACGAGATTCAGGCTTTCCCCACCATCAAGATTCTGAGAAATAGAGGCAAATCCATTCAAGATTACAACGGACCTCGTCAGGCTGAGGGTATTGTCTCTTATGTGAAGAAACAAAATGGCCCTGCTTCAGCTGAAATTAAGTCAGCTGCAATTGGTACTGAGGTTGTGGGTGACAAAAATGTTGTTGTTGTAAGTACCTCTCATGTATTATTCATTTCCGAAAAAGTTTTATTTTATTTTTAATGATTACCAGGAAGTTCAAAACAAAAACCACATCATAAAATATTAATTCCGTCGCACTCACGCATTTTAGCCAAATTTATGTTTTTTTTTAGGTTGGTGTGTTCCCTAAATTATCCGGCGAGGAGTTTGATTCTTTCATGGCCCTTGCTGAGAAATTGCGTGCTGACTATGATTTTGCACACACTTTGGATGCAAAGTTGCTTCCTCGTGGAGAGTCATCTGTGGCAGGACCTTTAGTAAGGCTATTCAAGCCTTTCGATGAACTGTTTGTCGATTCCAAGGTACAAAGTAAACTTGTCATTTTATGCATTACATCAATGAGAAGTCTCATGTTATATATATGCAATAATACGTATAAACATAATTTCAGGATTTCAATGGGGAAGCTCTAGAGAAGTTTGTCAAAGAATCAAGCTTTCCACTTGTCACTATCGTTGACAGTGATCCAAGCAACAACCCATATTTTGCCAAATTCTTTGACAGGCCTGCCACTAAGGTAATTAGAAAATGAATCCTTTGACAGCCTTGCCACCATTTTGAAGATGGTAATTTAGCAATTTAGTTTGTACTTGAAGGTTAATGTAGCCTTGAGGTTATGACAAAAGCTCTGATTCATGACATATTAGCTGAACTTCGGCAAATGATACAATCATAATTCTCCTTTGGTTCTGCTTTTCCACATATTTTTAATCTTTAGGTTTTGATGGGTGGTAGTGATATTTTGAAATTCAGGTAATGATGTTCGTTGATTTCACCGGAGAAACAGCTGAATCTCTAAAATCTAAGTACCATGAAGTTGCTAAATCCTACAAAGGACAAGGTCTTGCCTTTCTTTTCGGTGATCTCAAGTTTAGCCAAGGCGCTTTTCAGGTTACTATTTCATTTCCTCTCTCTCAATCATTTAGTTTACACTCATCTCTAAAAAGTTTTTATTTTTATTTTCATGTATTGCTAAACAGTACTTTGGACTAAAAGAGAGCCAAGTTCCACTCATCATTGTGGAGACTCCTGATAACAAGAAGTACTTGAAAGCAAACGTCGAGGATGGCCAGATTGAATCATGGTTGAAGGATTTCAAGGTTTCATTCTCTTTACACACATTTTCAAGCAAGATTTTATATAAGATAAGTACGTAAAAGTCAATGTAAATCACGGTAGTCAAAGTCTAGAGGTCACATGATCGAGTGATACTTGGAACATAACTAATATTACATGATGTGGTTTCGGGCTTGGGAAGATTACGGTTTTATCCCAAAACCTCTAGTTAAAAAAAAAGATTAACAAAAACAAAACAATGTAACCTAAGGAAAACGAACATGTTTCCTTCTAGGACGGAAAAGTTCCTGCCCACAAAAAGTCTCAACCTATTCCAGCTGAGAACAACGAACCAGTAAAGGTTGTTGTAGCTGAGAGCCTTGACGACATAGTCATCAATTCTGGAAAGAACGGTGAGCACATTTGAAAACTCTAATTAATCGTTTTAATTTTTCTAGCAAAGAAAAGACTGATAAGAACAACAATGTTGTCTATCAGTCTTGATTGAGTTCTATGCACCGTGGTGTGGACATTGCAAAAAACTTGCCCCGATCTTGGACGAAGTAGCTTTGTCGTTCCAGAAAGACCATACTGTGATCATAGCAAAACTAGTAAGCGCTTTGTTTTTTTTTTTTTTTTTTTTTTTTGATAAAATCCTCTAGTTGATCACAAATGTGCGTTTGTACACAGGACGCAACCGCAAATGATATCCCAAGTGATCTCTTTGATGTGCAAGGCTTCCCGGCCATATACTTTAGATCAGCGAGTGGAAAAATTGTAGTGTACGAAGGAAGCAGGACAAAGGAAGACTTCATAAGCTTCATTGAGAAGAACAAACCAACTTCTCATGGTGAAGAGTCTTCTACTAAGGATGAGCTCTAAAACTCGAAAAAAATGACAAGGAACATCTCTCTTTATTTACTTTCTATTACAGTTCTTTCTTTGTTTGTCTTTCTGTAATTCTAATTAAGGTCTTTCATTAATAAGGTGATTCTGATAAAATAATGGGAAGATTGCTTAATTTTCTTTGGAAGATTACGGTTCAGCTAAAACACAAATGTTGGTTGTCACACTTCGTTATCAACACATGTTCACCAAACAGTTCGATTATAAGGCCAGCTCCAAGTCTGCCGTTTTATGTCTATGGCAATTTTTTGGCAATTTGTAAATAAAAAATAACGACAAATGGGGTTGTTATATATCATCCATGTTTCATTCAAATTAAATGACATGTGTAATTTGACCCAAAAAGAATGAAAAAACTATTTTGCAACTTGTATACTTTAAAACAAATCTCTAATGACTATGTTTAGGAATCGATGATAGAGCGAACACTAGTATAAAGAGAGTACCCCTCCCTAGTAGAGTCATTCACCTTTAAATTAGTTGAAAAAAAAAAAAAAATTAACATGGTAGAAGTTTATGAGTTTTGGACTGTGATCGTTTCACTCATAGTGGTGAAGCTATGTCACTTGATCTATAAGTGGAGCAATCCAACAACTAATGGAAAGCTTCCTCCAGGGTCGATGGGTTTTCCAATCATTGGAGAAACTTTCGAGTTCATGATATCTCATGACGCTTGTCAATTTCCAGAATTCGTGAAGAAGAAAATCCTCAGGTTAATTTTATTTTATTTAGCGTACTACTTTAGTAACTTACCGTGTTTAACTTTCCCACTTTTTTGAAAAAAAAAAAATAGACATGGCCCACTGTTTCGAACAAGTTTATTTGGAGCCAAGATTATAATCTCGACGGATATTGGATTGAACATGGAGATAGCAAAGACGAATCATATTCCTGGTATGCCGAAGAGCTTAGCACGACTATTCGGGGAGAACAACTTGTTTGTACAGAGCAAGGAGTCCCATAAACATGTCCGCAGCGTGACAACCCAGTTTTTAGGTTCACAAGGTTTGAAACTGGGCATGATTCGAGACATGGATCTCGTGACTCGCACACACATGGAGATAGGAGCTAGGAACGGTGGTTTTGACGCCAAGGAAACAGCGAGCAAGGTAAGAAATAATTTATCCATTTCGTTTTGAATTTAACGTTGTGCCTAGGACCATATGTCAGGAGAACAAAACAGTAAATAAGTTTAACCATCTCCATGGTGGAAACGTAAAAATATTTACAAAGAAAGATGTCTTAAATAGAACATTGTCAAGTTTTTCTTTAATCTAAATTTATGATGAACACTAATTTAAACTTCCAATAATATAACAAATTAATTATGGTATGAAAATACTTGTTTTCAAACCTTTGATCTAAACAAACAAACAATGCTTATTCACCTTATATAAATTACATACAAATTAAACTACCTTATATAAATAGTTATAAATCTAAATCATTATTTGGATTCACTAATTATAATTTAGGGTTTATATATCTTTATTAAGAAAGTGGTCGTAAATATTAATAACTTTTTTCAGAAAGAGATATTACAATTTTTTGCTCCTATTGGAAAATTTATTTTTTGGACCTAAACTTTATCAATGTGCTATTTTAGAGAATTATCTTGTAGGGTCTAATTCTACCAAACGTTCTTTACAAATTTATCTTTTTCAGGTTTTTCTTTTTTTTTTTTTTGAAAAAAAAATTGAATTAACTAGATTAATTAAGTTGATCATCTCATCAAATAATAAATCAAACATTACAGATCTTGATGGAATGTCTTGCGAAGAGAGTTATGGGAGAAATAGAACCAGAGGTGGCAAAAGAACTCACAAAATGTTGGATACATTTTCCAAAGGGATGGTTTCGATTCTCGTGGAACATTCCTGGAACTGGTGTCTATCGAATGATCAAGGTACGTGTTTTTTTTTTACCTCAATTCATTTTAATCTTGCAATAGCATTATATACTCATAGGATTTAGGCCCCTTCAACAAAAAAAAAATATATATATATATGCATAGAATTAGGAGAAAAATAATTGAGGTAACGGTGTTCTTGGACAGGCAAGAGAGCAGATGATGAAAATACTAAAAGACACGGTGTTCAAGAGAAGAGCATCAGGAGAGGACTTGGGGGAGTTTTTCAGTGTCATGTTTGGGGATATGGAAGGAGGAGCGGTAAAGATAAGCGTAGAGGAGGCGGTCGAGTACATATTTATTTTCTTTTTGATTTCTAACGAATCAACGCCAAACGTTCTTGCGGCTACTGTAAAGCTCATAAGCGACAATCCCAAAGTCATGCAAGAATTGAAGAGAGAGCATGATCGAATTTTCCGGGGTAGGAATGAGAAGGAGACGGAGGCTGACCTAACATGGGAAGACTACAAATCAATGACTTTCACTCAGATGGTGCGTATGCGCTAAAATCATATATACACCGGTTTTGAGTTGGAAAAGTCCATGAAACCAACCTTTAACATGTTATATATATGTGTATATATATGTATATATTATTATTTTCTTTTTGAAGAAATTATATATATTAATTAGTTCATGCAAACATGGTTTTTTTCTGTCAGGTGATAAATGAGTCGCTTAGGCTCACAAGCACAGCACCAACTGTGCTTAGAATAATTGATCATGAGTTCCAAGCTGGTGATTATACAATTCCAGCTGGTTGGCTCTTCATGGGCTATCCTAATGTCCATTACAATCCAGAAAAATATGATGACCCTTTAGCATTTAATCCATGGCGCTGGAAGGTGATTTTAACCTGTTCTTCATATTTTACTTATTTACCCTAATTTCACTGGTCAGTTCGTAGGATGTTAAACATATATTAAACTAAATGTTCAGGAAAAAGACTTGACTGCAATCCTCTCCAAGACTTTCATTCCCTTTGGCGCTGGTTCTAGACTATGTTTAGGAGCTGACTTCGCTAAGCTGATGACAGCCACTTTTATCCATAATTTGTTTAGATACAGGTTATTTTTTGTCACCTTATTAATGACTCATGATTTAATTAATTTAATTTTTTTACTGCAGTCAAATTTTTTACTCACATGTATATGTGGTTGAAGGTGGTCAATGAAGACAGAGACTACAGTACTTAGAAGGATCATACTTATGTTTCCAGGAGGATCTGATATTCAAATCTCAGGGGAGACCGAAATGGATAACTCTTCTGGTTATTAGAGTGGTTATATTCCATTCGAGGTTGCTGTTTTGAAACATGGCGTAAACTACACTACATGCTTTGTATATTCAAGATGGTACTGATTGTACACTACATGCTTTGTAGTATGTAAACTACACTACAATTAATAGGAAGCGGTCAGAGTGTATGTTTTTAATTAATAAATAAAGTTAGCTATGCACTTTTGTGAATGTGTGGATAGTACGGAGATACTACAAGGAAATAATCATATTGTGACATATGTTGTGATGGATTTGTCATGAAGATAGTATTATGTTATCATGATCGTCACAAACTTTTGTTTTATTAAATCCATATAGTGAAAAATTATGTTCATAAACGATGACAATTATGTTGCTTGTAACACTAGATACAGGTTCATTTTTATCACCTAATGGCTCATGATTCACTTAGTTATTACTGCAGTCGAATTTTTACTTGCATATTTGTATGTACCTATGGTTTGAAGCCTTGAAGGTAGTTTATGAAGACAGAGAGTCAGAGACTATACTTATAATATGATAAGAGACTATGTCCAGATATCAACTTCACTATAGCCAAAAACTGAAAACAACTACAATTATGCAGGCCACACAAGAATTGAGCTAAACCTAAAACTCAACTTTGCAGTCCCCTGCAACCTTTGGAAATTAATGTCACACACACAAACGGCCACGGCAAACATAATAACAGCGATCTCAGTTCGATTCAGAAATTACAATACCACTCAGCTTCAGAAAAGCACAAGACAACGCCATTAACATACACTTCGAGCTCATCATCTGGATTGACAAATTTTGCTTCCAAAACCAATCAAACACATAATATATATTACATCTATTTATCAAAACCATCATAGTCCAGAAACGTAACAGTCACAAACTTCCTCAAATTTCAGTTTAACCATACAGTCTCTCTATTGCAAAAGTAAGACCGAAGGAAAGAAAGTAGAAATAACCAAAGAGGCAGACACAAGAGGAGAGATGACAACAAGTAACCTGTTCTTGAGTCGAAATCCCAGAGCTAAGCAGACCATATCAGTCAATCTTTATGGCAATGTCACCTGCAAGTATTTTATGATCATAAACCATAAGCCAACTTGGAAGATATACACAGGCCAATATAAGAAATGTGACGAATCCACAAGAGAAAAGAAAAAGGAGAAAGACTTGCGAAACAAATCAACAAAGTTACTAACCACTTTCAATCGTCATAAACATCAGCCATTAGAAAAATAGCCCTCGTAAGATCCATTCCCTGCAAATAAGACAGCCACAACGAAACTGATTCAGATGAAATAAACCTCCATGAAGCTTCAGATCCTGATAATTTACTGGAGAGAAAAGCATAGATACCCACAGCTGATATATTTAACAAATATTACGTTTCAGACATTTGGTAATCAAAGGACAGCAATGCACAAGACAGTAAATCCGGATCTCAAATTCCAATCTAGAAGTACATTTGATTCTCACAAGTTCTCAGAAGCGTAATAAGACATAATCAGGGAAGGTAAAAAGCTTAAACCAAAAAGGCAGGAGCATAGTTAACCTTAAGAAAAAGCGTCTTCATGATCCATCTCTCCAAAGCCAGCATTGTCCTCCTCCATATTGCTAAACTCCAGGAAATGAGTAGGCCGATGCTCACTGTCATAGTACTCCTTGGGATCTCCTAGTTTCACACCATATTTCATGCTCGCTGTGTGCTTCACTCCCATAAAGTTAAAGTTCCAAGGTCCGTTTTCAGGAACCATGTAAAACCCAAGGAACTTGTCACTCAACAGCATCGGAACCTTGTCATAGTGCGTCGGAAGGTAGCCTTGGTGATTGCTGTTCTGGTCCTGGTTGAGTCTTCCCCATTCATATCCGGTTTCTGTCAGCTTATATGACGTCAAAGAACAAGACCCTGGAGTGAAACTGCAAGTCAAGATGATGCTCTTCTCTCTGTCCCAATGATTCTTGTTGTTCTCAAGAAAACGAGCATGGGATATAACATCTTGTGGAGACAACTGAGGAAGCTCGTTAGGCTGTGTGTGCATCCATCCCAAGGGCTCAAGACCATTCAAGAAATCATGCTCAGGAAGAGACGAAGGCAAGTGAACCTGCTGGTGACTTCCCCACTGTGGCGCCATCACAACGCAACGGATCTCCTTGACCTGAGGATTATCTAGAGGACTTACACCATACAAATACCCAGCAATCTGAACTCGAAGATCTGCTATGCGTATGAACTTCTTCAAGATGTTCTTCGGCATTATGTAAGTGTATCCTGTTTCATTAACATCGTGAGAGTTCACATAAATGTGGTTCACTCTAAGGTGGAGATTCGTAGCTGAGATCGCACGGACGCGCCAGTCTGTTTTAGAAACAAATGCAGTTTGCTCGTAAGGACTAACGTGAGTGACAATGAGCTCATCACCATAAACATTTGTGGTCCTTGTAGTGACTGCAGTCAACTGTCTCACTTCCTTGTTCTGTTTCTCAATCTCAGCTATTTGTTGCCTTTGTTGTGACGGTGGAGTAATCTCAGCTCCGAGTATGATATCTCTAATCTCCGACTGCGTCAGAGACGAGGTGTTGACGTTGTTCTTCTTGGCGTAGTCAGAGAGGATGAGATCCTTAAGAGGAACCTCCACTTGTATCCACTGCTCGTTGGAAAGAGAAGGCCAGACGTGATGTGTCTCAGTGATAACAGACTTGTCAGGCTTCAGCAACATCTTAGCCTTCTCGTTGTTGACATGAAGAGCACGAAGGATAAGAATGAGTCTTGAGAAGGCAGTGTAAGAAGAGATACTCGTCAACCAATCATCAAAGATGTTAAAAAGGAACATCTGTGGCTCAGTGGCTTTCAAAATCAGATCACCAAACTTCTCAATCTTGAGACAAGCCTGAAACGGAAGCTGCAGCTCGCTTCCCTTGATAACTACGTTAGGGAAATCAATCAAGTGCTTCTGAACAGGCTCAAGCATTCCTCTACGAGTCACAATAACCTGTTTTGGCTGTTCTTCAACGGGCAGAGACCGCATAAGTGCAGCGACTTCTTCAGCCGTTTTCCATTTAGCTAGCTGAGAGAGACGTTTCTGACCAGCCCAAACACTTGTGTGGATAACCTTGAGGAACAGCTGACCAGTTCTTGGGTTGAATATGAAGATTGCACCATTGATTGGCTTTGTCTTCATATTTCCTTCAAACGTCTTGTGCATTGACACACGATACACATTTGTATCATCAATAAACCATATCATCTGATTGCTGAATATCTCTCCATAGTTTTGTGATGACAAATGCGGCTCTGTAGGCTCAGACGAGTACAACTGCAGACCTTTCCTGATCCGTTCTCTCAACGCATGCAACGCAGGATTCGACTTCATAATCTTGTTCATCGCGCGACCAAGCAAAGGCTTCATATTAGGGATCCAATTACCATAGCAAGAATACGTGTTGTACGCCAAGTCAATCCCAATCATGACACCTGTTGGAGATGGATATAGAGACATGTTATCAGTCGTATAATCCATGAACTTGGCCCTGGTGTAACGCTCAATATCATGAGAATCGTAATCTCCCCAACGAAGCTGCACATCAATCCAATACTTGTTACTATCTTTCTCCCCAAACGTCTCAGACTCGCTTATCAGACTAGGCTTCGAGACTTGCCATTTCTTGGAAGCAGAGAACAGAAGAATATCAGCACAAGAGCTGTTCATCTTGTAACTCTTCCTCGGATGAATCGTCTCCTTCTGCACAGTTTCAATCTCCAAGGAATCCATTTCTTGATCCAAGACTTGGCAAAGATCCATAACGACAGCTTCGTGAATCATCTGCCACATATGAGCACGGAAAATCTGAATCAAAGATATCTTCAACGTAGGAATCTTCCCATGCATGAATATCCCTGTAAGGTCCAACTGCACTTGAAAACCAACATAAACATTCGCTCGATTAATCGTCGGAGACCACCAAAGAGTGAACCTTCTGTTCGGAATCTGATTCAGACCAGACCTCTGCGCATTTGTCAGCTTCTTATACTTCATTGACTCTTCAAAACCAGACGCCTTCTCCCAGAAAAGACCCTCCCAAGTTGGAAAATATGTTCCTTTGAACAAAGTATGCTCAAGAATACCTTCAACACCACCCAGAGCTTGTATAACATCAGTTCTGTAATTATTCAAGTTCCAAAGCTTACCATCATGTTTCTGATGCGTCCACCAGAAAGGATTCTGTCTCAAGACTTGGAACTTCTTGAAATCCGTACGCACTCTCCAGCCTTTATCATAAGCTAACGTGTGCCTATCTTTCTGAAACAAAGTGTTTATACGTGGAATCCCTCTGTCCCAAGAGTCTTCAAGATCCTCAAGCGTAAGACGTCTGTTTTGAGATTGTGCTTCTTGCCTCTTCAATGCATACTCTGCCCACACCCGCTGCGAATCGATAAACTCGCTCTCCCATGGCTGTATGTAACGGAAGAGATTCGGTATCCTCATATCCTCATCGTGGCCCATTCCGCTCCTGAAATGAGTAACACCAACGTCTGTCTGCTTGCTGAAACGAAGATCACTTTGTGGGATCAGAATATGGCTCATAGATAACATTCCAAGACCACCGAGCTCTTTTGGAGAGTAGAAGACAACAGGAGGGAAACGACTAGGCATCTTTGAGTTCAGACCAATCTTGATCCTTGTCTGGATTCTACTCTCACCCTTAACCAGCAGATCAATGAGCTCTGGTGTATGCAGAGTGGCTTCACGGAAGTAAGTCATGAGACCTATCAGAGTTGTGTTCCACTTGTTGGTGATTTTGGTAAACGTTGTTGACCCTGAAGACATCAGAATCTGCCTCACACGATTCTCAAAAACCTGAATCTGTTCTTCATCAACTCGCAGGAAAGCAACAGCAGTCTTCTCTTTAGTCTGTTCGTTCTGCAGATTCCACACACCATCACCCAAATTGCTGAAAACTTCTTGGCTCATCCTGATTTTTGGAAGTATACGGACTTCAAATCCACACATGCTGAACAACAGATTGGGATTATCCTTGCTGTACACAGAGACGAAGCTATGCTCCCAATCAAGAGTAGTAAGGCTCCGAGGAAGACGGTTCTTCATATCCCAGAAGATACTTCTACCAAGATTCACATCATGTTTCATCAACCTCATTCTTGCATCTCTCGGCCAGCACTCCTTGTTGTTATACCCCACCATGTTCACATTGTTTGGATCAGGATTCTCTCTCAGGTAACGTTGGATAAGATCTCGAGCCTCTTCATGGGTAAACTTGAACATCATGTGCACTTTATCCACATAACGAGAATACAATCTGATGGGATGTCGCGTCTCGACTTTTGTATCCCAAAATGTCATGAACTCGTTCGGCTTCTGCGGCGGACCAGCAATCTCGTTCGCTCGAGTCAGACCAAGAAGCAAAAGATCCAGCACCAAACCATAGAACTGAGCAAGGAAGGACGAGAACTGAAGCCCCCTAATGAGACCATATGAGTTAGTATGGCTCATATCCTTGTAAGACAGAACCACATTGTTCTTGGCTGTCACATAATCTGCGATATTGGGGTCAACAATCAAACGCAGAAGCCTGTTCAACACCGTGACATCAACATTCTCAAACAGCTTCTCAAGCTTCGTCTGTAGCATCACCACACACTGGCCATCACCTGTGTCCCATATCCCTTGCAAATTATTGATCCCTTGGCACCACTTGTACACCAGAAGCGGCGGCGGCTCCGAGTCTGCTGGCTTGATCCAGTTGGGAAACAAGTGTCGCTTGTCAGCTTCATACCACAAGTACTGATCAAGATAGGCATCAGTAATCTTCTCTAGAGGATCAACTGTATAAACCGGAATCAAACAACTGTATAGATCCATAAACTCAATCCCCACATCTTTGAACTTACGCTGAGTCAAAAGATGACGCTTGATTCTCGCTAGAGTCTCGTGAGGGTTGTCATAAGCTTGTTCGATCAAACCAAGCTCCTCTCTCTGCAGCTGATTCAACCTCACATCTCCACCATACGATTCTTTGAGTCTCTCAAGAGAAAGGATAAGCAGCTTCGTATCGTGCTTGTAAGACATAGGAGGGAACGGTATTGGCGAATACTTCCTTGCTTCCAGCCACGAATAAGTAGTTTTATAAGCTGCCACTGCTTCGTCTGCAGTGATCGGTGTACCGTCTTTAAGGTAATTGTGTTGCCGTTCCTGTTCTGCCTTAAGCCAAAGACGTGTCATCCTTCCAAGGTTCTTCCTACAAACAGTTATCAACAGTAGCTCCTCTCCTGATACGCTCACGGTTGTAGTGAGTCACATTCGTCCACCAATCAGCCTTATGCTTCACATACCTGAGGATCATATTCTCAACAGGCACAGGCAAACAAGGGACCTTCCACGGGATATTCGCTTTCCAACAACGCCACGCCTCGCTAAGATGCTGCCCAATCACTTTAACCTTCTTCTGCTTGATACCCTCTGGCATTGCATCAACAACGTCATGCATCACAGCAGCTCGTAGCTCCAAGTCAAAATGGCTCTCAACTCTTTGCTTAGTAACCGTTTTCGCCACTCCCTTCGAATGACGCCCTTCAAACTGACGTCCAAGAAGATTCCCTAGCCATCGCTCTAGCAGAGGAACTACACCACGGAGGAAAAACAGCCACACTCTCCACATTGGAGCCCAGAATCCACAACCAGGTCCTTTACCCACAGGACCAGTATTGAAACGGTAGTAAATCAAATGCTTCAAGTCCTTGCACATCCTGATCTGCCTCATAAGCCTGTACTTATACCTATACATACCTGTCAACTGTCCAACGTGAGAGAAAATGTACTGCAAACCATCAGCCAACTGAAAAGCATCAACATTCCCAAGCCGGAACTGGACATTAGCATCAACAACAAGCTTAGTCAACCTGAGAATCTCACGGCAGAGATGGAAAGCATTACCAAAACGTGACTTCTTCCTCTCCTTTGTCGTCAAAGTCTTGATTGGCTTCAGGTTGAAGTTGTAATCAAGATGCAGATAGTTCAAGCCCTTCCTGTGTATCAACAGATTCAACATGTTATGCCCTTGCCTGCAGACTTGCAGACCCGCTTCAACCCAATCAATCTCTGTGCTCTGGAAAAACTTTGTACCTGCAAGAGACCTGAACAAGTCCTTCTTCTTCTGAGCTTTAGGTGGCTTACGGTGTAACTCATTCTGCACATAACACTTTAAAAGCTTCTGGTAACTAACCCGAACTTTCACCGGATACGATGCAGGACAATGCTCCTTATACCACTCTGAGACCAGCGGTATATCTTCTGCCCTCCGCGTCTTCCCAGACCTCATATTGAACGGTCTCGGAGCAAATAGCAACGAGATCCCATCTCTTGTAGTGTCACTGTAAAGCTCGGTTCCCTGTAACAGAGGCTCAACTCCATCTGGTAAGACAAAGTCATCATCATCATCAACATCAACTTTCCTGTCACGAAATCCTTGATTAGAGTTACTTATAGGGTTGATCAAAGGATCATAGTAAAACGCTGGAAGATCAGGATCCTCGCTCTTAATATGCATAACCATTGGAGTGTGATACGAAGAGAGTTTCACTTTCCTTGGTCTGTTGTTGTACAAGTAAGGGAAAGCCACTCTTCCTTCGGTCCGCGTTCTCGTTCTCACGATAAGCTTGTTGATGTCGTTAAACTCGTTCCACTCCTCGTCTCCCTTCTCCACGTCACGATACAGAGGCTCAAACTTAGGACCACCAGGAATACACATGTTCAATGCCTTGGCAGTGAAGAAAGATGGCAAATCAAACATATAGAAGTAGTTCCGATCAACCATATCCGAAAGCAACTGACCTGCGAGCCTGTGAAGCGTTGACATAACCGGAAGCGAGAGGTTCCTGTTCCTGTAACTTGGACCGTTGATGGAGCTCGTCTTCACTAAAGGCTTGTGATCGTAAAACCAGCTGTGCACACAAGAATCTTCTTCCTCATCAAGCTCTAACTGAATCGCCTCTAAAGGATCAACATCCATAATATTATCAGCGTAATCCAGCGGAGGCTCTTCGTCGTCAAAAGGAGGAAACCGCATCCTCTTAAAGTGCCTGCGATCTCTCTTCTCCCTCCGCATCATAATCCACATCGTTCCCCATTGCGCCATGTAGATAGGCTCAACGACTAAAGGTGTCTCGTTCACAAACGTGATGGCTCCGGTGATGTGATACAGAACCTTCACGTCTCTCACTTGCTCCCAAGGCATCGGCATGTTCTCAAGAAGCTTGAAGACTGCGTGAGGAACAAACTTCAGAGCTCCGAGATAAACGCGCTTGTCGTGACGGTACTTCTTCGATGACATATCACCATGTTCTTTGATGATCTTCCTGAGATGCTCCGGTGGCATATCTTCTTTCTGTGTTTCCACGAACCCTAATTTTCTCTTCTCATTGTATCGTTTAGAACTCAATTGCTTCCATAGTCGTGCCTTCTTCTCTAGTTTCGCCTCTGTTTCCTCAGGTGTAGGCTTCGACGGAGGATCATGATTAGCCTCTGACGGAGAGACAAGCATATCATCGCCGATCATAGCTTCCTAATTCAAATCAAAAAGTAACTTTCAGAGTCGTAACAAATAAACCCTAAACTTAAACTGACGTCAAGAAGACAGAAAAAGTTTGACAATGAAAACTCTTACACGTGTCTGTATTTATAAGGGAAAGAGCCGACCTTCCTCTGTGCTCTTAAGCGATGTGGGACAACTAATTTAGACAATATTTAACTATATTAATATTAGTTAGTGGAAAAAAGATATAAATCTGTACAAAAATGGAAGTTTACGATTTGGTTACAAAAAACAGAGAAACAACATTAGAATTCTGAAAATAAAATCCTATAGTATTTGTGAGTTCAAAAAAAAAAATCTAACTTTGATAAAGATTAGATTTCAGACTTTTCATCATAAGCTTTGATAAAGATTGGACTAAAAAGGAAATTTTAAACCTATTACTATACGTAATTAAAAAGGAGAATAAAAAAAAATTATAATATATTGACTAAAAAATATCATTACTCGTCCACAATTGCCTTTGCTTTCTATATATAACCAAAGCCAAAGACTATCAAAATCCTCAAGTTTGTATATAGCCAAAGACGACGCATCAGAAGTTTAAAGAATAACTTAAGAAAACCGAGAACTTCATATATATCCAATGTCTTGCAACTTTTGGGACACAAAACAACAAAACTAAACAAAATTTGTAGTTGATTTGTTTGATAATATGGTGTCTTAAATTAAACAGTCTATAACTGTTAGCTACCATAAATGAGAGAAAACAGCACCTAAGAATTTTATCAAAAGTTTAAAACCTTTGCACATAATCTAATCAAAAGTTTTGCGTAAGAAATCAAAAGTATAACTCAGTATATATAACTAAAATAAAGTTAGATTCATTGAAAAAAAGCCATTACTCAATGACTCAAGGTAAGCCTCAGCTGTTAGTATTTTCTTTGATGAATATATCAAAACACTTTCATCACTCAAATTCAAATTATCAGCCTAATACCAAATGGTAACTGGAGAGGGGAAAAGTATATACTCACATGAAACACGGCGATTTCAACACCAATACTCTGCAATTATATTCGGATTACGAATGGTAGTGTCTCCTGAACTTGCTGCAAGTCAAACACCATATTCCATTACCCCAATATCAAACTTGGATTTGATGCATAACACAGAGGCTTAGAAATACAACAACTTACCAGTTTGCTTTCTACAATATCCTGTCCTGATTTCTGGAACAGGTCTCACTCTCTCTCTCTCTCTGAAATCTCAATTGCTCTCTTGTTCAGTATCTAGAGAGTCACAGACAAGAGTTAAACACCACACTCCATTACCCCCAATATCAAAACTTGGATCTGATGCATAACATATAGGCTAGAAAATACAACAAGTTACCAATTTGATTTCTGTCACATCTTCTCATGTCCTAATCTTGTGGAACAGGACTCGCTTTCTCTGAATCTTCAATTGCTCCCTGGTTCAGTATCTACACAGACAAGAGAATCACATTAAATCTCCCCAATTACACCGCAACATATTACTCTTTTCTGAAATATTAGTATCAGGCATGTTAACCCAAAACTCTTCAGACATATAAATTGCCCTCAGATTGTCTAATGTCTACACAGAACCTTGTTGAACAATCAGTAAACACTAAGAATTTGTGTTCACTTACCTCAATAATGTCACCGAGCTTGATCTTTGGGTTTTCTTGGAGGATTGTCTTCCTCCGCCAAATTCAAACCTTCCATCTATCTCCTTAAAACAGCAAAATTCATCACCACTCAACTTTTTTCTTCTCACGGAGCTCTCTTCTTAACTTCAAATTCCTCCACCTCTTCGCTCTCGGCTCCATCTCCACTTCAAGATCCAATTTTTTTTCTCTTCAAGTTAAAACCAGTGAACATAATCTAATCATTAATGGAAGTTTTGCTTAAGAAATCAACAGTAAAACTCAGTATATATAACTAAGATAAACTTAGTTTCATTGAAAAACAGCCATGAGTGAAAGGTAAACCTCAGCTGCTAGTATTCTCTTAGATGAAAATGGCTTCTGAATAATATATCAAAACATTTGCATCACTCTAATTCAAATTATCAGACTAATAATACCAAATGGTAACTGGAGAGGAGAAAGGTATATACTCACATGAAACACGGCCATTTCAACACCAATACTCGGAATACCAATGGTATAGACGTATAGTGTCTCAGGAACTTGCTGCAAGTCAAACACCATATTCCATTACCCCAATGTCAAGACTTGGATTTGATGCATAACATATAGGCTTAGAAAGACAATACAGCAACTTACCAGTTTGATTTCTACAATATCCTGTCCTGATTTCTGGGACAGGTCTCACTTTCTCTGAAACCTCAATTGCTCTCTTGTTCAGTATCTACAGGCACAGACAAGAGTTAAACACCATATTCCATTACCCCAATATCAAGACTTGGATTTGATGCATAACATATATATAAGCTAGGAAATACAAAACTTGGATTTGATGCATAACATATACGCTAGAAAATACAACAGGTTACCAGTTTGATTTCTGTAATATCTTCTCCTGTTCCTAATTTTGTGGAATGGACTCACTTTCTCTGAAACTTCAATTGCTCCCTGGTTCAGCATCTACACAGACAAAAGTTAATCACATTAAATCTCCCCAATTACACCGCAACATATAACTCTTTTCTGAAATATCACTCTTTTCAAGTGATAACCCAAAACTCTTCAGACATATGAAATTGCCCCCAAATTGTCTACACAGACCCTTGTTGAACAATCAGTAAACACTAAGAATTTGTGTTCACTTACCTCAATTAGTCACCGAGCTTGGTATTTGGTGCTTTCTTGGAGGATTGTCTTTCTCCGACGAATTCAAATCTTCCATCTTTCTCCTTAAATTACCATAAATTCACCACCACTCAACTGATCCACCAGAATCAACCGACGGTGTCGGGAAAGCTTCCACCTTTCATTTGGCTCAAAAAGGACTTAAAGCTTCCACATTCCATTTGGCTCAGAAAGGACTTAAAGCTTCCACCTTTGATTCGGGCTCGGAAAGGACTTAAAGCTTCCACCTTAAAAAACTGGCTTCGTAATCCCCACAAGCTTAATGTTGTCTCTGATCTGATTCAGATTCAAAAACACTAGTAACATATAGATGAAGACCGCAGTGATAGATTTCTCTGCAGATATCAATGACGGAGTGTAAAGCGGATCAAGAAGACAGATTAAAGCCATGGATTGAAATTGTAACTCTTTTTTTTCCAGACAGATTGAAATGTGACTCTTTGAATGGAGGAGTGTCGAAACGTCGCCGCTTTCAGATTTTGTTACAGATTTATTTGTTTAGTGAAAATAATACTCCTACGTGTTCACTCAACTAATGACGTGACAAGTATATGGAGAGGAGATGTTTGTAGATTTTTGTAGATTGTTGATTTTTTTTGGTCATCTGAGTGAAATATATTAACAACAGGGAGGAATACAACGTTTCTGATTGAATTACAGATAGCCCAAAAACCAGGCAAGAAAGTGAAACACCAAAAAAAACACTTCACCAACTTTAAGAGCCAAGTAAGACGCCTATCCTGAAAATCCAAAAGAAACCTGAACAAGCTTAGATCAAACAAAGGAAAGAACTCTCTCATCCGCAAAAACGCCATTCAACCAAAACGGATGACTGATCGCCACATAAGACTGAAGACGACAGTCACTGGTAACGCTTTTAGCAATGAAACTAGCTCCTCTATTTGCTGACGCCCTTTCTAACACCACTTTCCAATCCGAGATCATTGATAACAAGGGAAGAATCTCAGCTGCATGAAAGCTGTAAGAAGGCCAAGCCTGAGGCCGATTAACTACACCTACTAAAACCGCATCCTCCAAAGCAAACTCCACTCTCTCCATTTTGTGGCAAATCATACTTTCTATCGCCCACACGAGAACTAGGAATCTTGCCTCAAACACATCAATAACACCTGAAAAAGCTCTTCTACTATGAAGCAGAACAAACCCTTTCTCATCTCTTAGAACCCAGCTTGCACCTGCAAACTTGTTCCTTTTAGACCACGAGAACCCAATATTGCATTTATACCAAGCCAAAGGAGGAGCAACCCACGGCTTCGTTATAGTGCTCAACAAACTAGAGCCCCTTCGACACCTGAAAATCTCCGACTCCTCCTCAATTCCGGATTTTTGAGCCATAAACCACTTCTCTGCATCTTTTCTAATCTTTGACACAATCTCAAAAGAGCTAAAAGATTCCCCTTTAAACAAAAACAGATTCCTGTTTTTCCAAATAGTCCAAACAATCCAAGGGAAACAAGTTCGTAACTCTAGAGGCCAAAGCTCATTGTTAGTGTTCACTAACAAATGGTAAACGTTTGAGAAAACTGACCCATTAGCAAAACCACACAAAGGTTGAGGATAGTCAGAAAGAGCCCATACCTGACGAGCAACAGAGCATTTAAAGATGACATGGTTAATAGATTCACCCTCCAAACCACAAATCTGGCAACAACCATCAATCTTCAAACCTTTAGTTGCTAAACCATCAGCAACAGGAACCGCTCCACTTAGCATTTTCCATAGGAAACTTTGAATCTTTGGATCAGTTCGTAGATTCCAAACTTGCTCTTTTAGGATATTAAGAGAGGGAAGAGCTTCTGCTCCTTGTAAAAGGTCCCCTTATTGATTTGAAACGCTAACCAATAGGCTGATTTTACTGAAAACTGTCCACTCTTGTTCAGTTTCCAAACTAAAAAATCATCCTTAGAAACCACTGGCTTGTGCTTCAAGATTCTTTGAACATCATCTGGATAAAAAAGATCATCCAATTTACCCCTGTCCCATCCTCTTGAGCTAAAATCAATAAGCTCTTCCACCTTTAAATCAATATTGATCCTATCGTTCTTCATAAGAGGGCAACGCATAACAATATCCTCTATCCACAGTTCGCTCCAAACATTAGTGGAAGCTCCATTTCCAACTTTTTTAACCAAGCCTTCAGACAGAAGATCTTTTCCAAAGGAAATACTTCTCCACCCATACGAGGGTCTATTTCCAAGGCCAACATTCAGAAAATCACTAACAGGGAAATATCTACTCTTCAACATCCTTGCTATTAAGGAATTCGGGACTTGTAAAATCCTCCATGCCTGCTTAGCAAGTAAAGCCTGATTGAAAAGGCCAATATCTCTGAAACCCATGCCTCCCAAACATTTAGGAAGACATAGTTTTTCCCAACTCTGCCAATGAATCTTCCTCGAATGCTCACAAGAGCTCCACCAAAAATCAGCCATCGCGCTAGAAAGAGCAGAACAAGTAGTGATTGGTAACTTGAAGCAAGACATGGCGAAAATAGGCATCGCCATAGCAACGGATTTAAGCATCACTTCTTTACCTCCCTGAGATAATGTTCTAGCATACCAACCCGATAGCTTTCCTTTCAACCTATCTTTAATATAGTTAAGCATCTCCACTTTAGACCCACTAAAGCATTCAGGAAGTCCAAGATACTTACCAGCTCCACCTTCATTTGATATACCCAAGATCTCTTGAGCTTCCTTTTTAACTTGAGCATTGACTTTGCTTCCAAAAGAAATAGAAGATTTTTCCACATTAATTGTTTGGCCAGTCGCTGCTCCATAAGATGAGAGAATACTCCCCAGTTTTCTACACTGCCCAGAGAAAGCTTTACACAGAAAGAGGCTATCATCAGCAAAAAGAAGATGATGAATTTCAGGTCCTGAGTCTGAAAACCTAATGCCTTCAATAGTTCCTGTTGAGCTTTATTTAACAGGTGGGTTAGACCTTCAGTGCATAAGACAAATAGAAAGGGAGAAAGAGGGTCTCCCTGTCTTAAACCTCTTTGCGGTGTAATCATACCATAAGGCTGATCATTTATAACAACTGAATAAGTAACAGACGATACACACCGCATGATCCAATTTACCCACTTGATATGAAACCCCAAGGCCAAAAGAAGAGATCTGAGATAGCTCCACTCAACTCTATCATATGCCTTAGACATATCAGACTTAACTGCCATGAACTCTGATGAAATATCTGGATGAACGTTGAGGCTATGCACAAGTTCATGGGCCACCAGAATGTTGTCGGAAATCAGACGCTCCGAAACAAAGGCTGATTGAGTTTCTGATACAATCTGGGGAAGGAAACCTTGTAAACGGCGCACCAAAATCTTCGAGATTATCTTATAAGTCACCGAACAAAGACTTATAGGGCGCAAGTTTGACATCTCCACTGGATGAATAGTCTTTGGAATAAGACAAAGATGCGTATAATTCCACTCAATCGGAAAGTCTCCATTGAGAAAGAAATTCTTCACTTCCTTAGTAACCTGAGAACCAACCACCTCCCAGTAAAACTGAAAGAAAAAACCAGACATACCATCCGGACCAGGAGCACTTCCTGGCTTAATTGAGAAAACAGCTTCTTTTATTTCTTCATCAGTAATCTGCCTGATAAGGGACTGATTCATCCTTTCAGTCACTTTTGGAATGATCCCTTCAAACCAAGAATCAAAGGAAGAGGGGTTAGATGATTTAAAAAGGTTTTGGAAATAAGCCGAAGCTACCTCTCCCTTTGTCGCCTCAGACCTTTGAAAATTGCCATTCACATCCAACAGCTTCTCAATTCTTTTTTTCCTCCGGTTAGCTTTCACTGAAGCATGAAAGAATTTCGTGTTACGATCACCATCTCGCAACCAGGATTCTCTGCTTTTCTGCCTCCAAAAAACTTCTTCTTCCCTATAAGCTTTCACCAAATCTCTTTTCAAACCCATGACTACATAGCCGTTCGGATAATGGACAGATTGTTCCTTTTCTAAAGCCACTTCAATCTGAGAAATCTTATCCCTGGAATTCAAATCATTCTCTTTTTTCCACCGACTTAGAGATTTACGACAAGCTCTTAATCTTTCAGACACAGAAAATTCAACCATACCACTTCTCTTGTTCCAAGCTGCAACCACTGCTTCTTTTACTTTCTTCTTTCCCATCAATCTTTTGTCAAATCTAAACTGACCTCTATAGTTCTCTTGGGACGCCATAAGATTCAGCAAAACGGGTCTATGATCAGATCCTCTTTTTTCCAAAAAAGATTGATTTGAGGCTGGAAATTGTTTGAACCACTCCTTGTTTCCAAACACCCTATCCAACTTGCATTGAATCCACAAATCGTATCTTCTCCCTGCCCAAGTAAAACTATTTCCATGACTGTTCAATTCTCTCATATCACAAGCATGTAACATTTCAGAGAAAGGCTTGAAATAAGAGTCACATCTTCTAGGGCCACCCAATTTTTCACCATTGTGCAAAATGTCATTGAAATCACCAAGCATGCACCAACTGTCTCTTCTACCAACACCAAAACGAGAAATTCTTTCCCAAACATTATGTCTTTTTTTAACGCAAGGATCTCCATATATACAAGAAACAAAAAAAGAAGCTGCTCCAAACTGTACTTGCATATCCAACAAGTTCTTATCCATAAACTTTACATCTATCTGCACACTACTTTTAGAAAACAAAGCCAAACCTCCACAGGTTCCGATAGGTTCCACTGTATACACTCTATCATACCCGAGCCATTCCTGCAAATCTACTAAAACATCTCTACTGTGCATAGTTTCCATCAAAAACAACATCTCAGGGAAGTACTTTTTACGCAACTCCTTGAGACGAGGAATCGCCAAGTCTTGAGACCGTCCCAATCCTTGACAATTCCAGCTGATGATGCTCATTAAGCGGTGGGCGATCCCTCATTTGGGATCACCTTTAGTTGACTGATTCTAGCACACTTGTTTGTAAGACTCCTTTCTTGATCTGATTTTCTCTTGTTAGGACCACCAACACTAGCTCCTTCTTTCAGCACTGGATTAGACTTGGTCAGATCGGGGTCCCTTGCCTTAAGCATTCTGATTCTCTTCGGAGGACGTTTTCTTGGTTTTCCTTTTTTTGGTTTAATCCCGGAAGGACCAGCCTCAGAGAAGCCAATCTTGAAATCCGTCGGATTAAAGATAAAAGGTCCTGAAGGCAACTCTGAAGACATAGAACCTTCTAAATCATTACTGAGCTCCGAAGATAACCCTTGAGCTGGACACGATGTGGTCTTGTAAGCCTCATCCATTAGCCTATTCCTTTTAAAATCAGCCTTAGACCAATTTGTTGAGTCTGAGCTTTCATAGTCAAAAACACGACCTCTCTCTTTATTGACATCCTTAGACAAGATAGGAGCTGGCTCAAGGCTTAACACAGCCTTCCTAGCAATTGGATCCTTTTCAGCGATTCCAACAGTCTTCTTCACCTTGTCAATTCTTAAATTTCTTTCATTAACATCAGCCACCATTAGATATTGCCTCATACCTTCCAAAACTGTTTTTGCAATCTTAATTCTTCCCGTCAATGGATTAATACCAACTTGTTCTTCACTTAAGACTCCAAATAAAGGATCAGACGGTTTGATGATCAGAGGTTTTACCAAAGCTTCTTTCAACAGACCAGGATGCCGAATTCCTTCAAGAACTTGACGTTTTTTCAACAGAAACGGACAAACTTCTTTTTCATGGGTCAGACGATGACAACCATAGCACCGCTTCTGAACCCGTTCGTAATCAAACTCCACCACTGTTGAACCTCCATGAGGAAGATTGAGCACTTTACCTCGTTTCAACGGTCTTGAGATATCAAGTAGAATCTTGACACGAACATACGGTTGCAACTGAGGGAGATCAGGGTCGAAAGCAACCTCCGTCACTTGACCCACCATATCTCCTAAGTCTGAAATAGTCCTAACCGTTCTATGATTCACAGGAAGTTTCCAGATTTGCATCCAAAGAGGATAAACTGAAGATGATCCTCTGCCGGATGTTCCACCCAACGCTCAATAGCAAGAGCCCATTCGTTGTATGTATGAACTCCTCTTCCGAGAATCTCAATCAAATCTCTCTCAGAATCAAATATGAACTGGAATTTTTCGCTTGACAAAGCAACTCCTCTCACTTTTCCATACATCTGCCATTTACGAGGCATATCCAGAAGAAGATTCCTCATCCTCTGACGATCAGGATTTAGAGTTCTCCCAATCAGACTCAAAACATTTCTCTCACACGAAGAATATTCTGGACGATCAGGAATATCAAAGGGAAGATCTTCTTCTTCATCAAGAGACATAGCCAACATAGCTTTATCCATAGCCGAAGACATCTTGAAAAACCAGTCAGAGACACACAGTAAGCAGCTCACGAAAGTATCCAGGAGATACGAACAGTAGGAAACTCTCAGATCTACTTTTAGAAACCCAAAAAGGTAAGATAAAGAGGATAGAATACGATTAAAAAGGACTGTTTTTGGATAAAGTAATCAGATAAAAGGCAATGAAACCTTCTAACACAAACAGAAGTGTCTAAGCCCAAAAAAGGGAAGCCTTTTGAAATTATTGCCAACAAACTACAAACTACAAAGTCTTCACTTTGATTTTTGTAGATTGTTGATATGAAAAAGTTATGTTTTGTGATAAGATTATATTTTAAGCCTTAAGTCCTTTCTGTATAAATGGTTTACGAGTTCTAACTACAATAGCTTTGGTTAATCACCACAAGATTATAAAAAAAGTTACGGAAGTAGTGAATCTAGTGATCACATAACTTGGTGCTCGTCTTAGCTAGAACTCATGTGAAGCGACACAAGCGAAGCATACGCACCACCAGGAATCTTCATTAGACCAAGATTATAAAAAAAGTTACGGAAGTAGTGAATCTAGTGATCACATAACTTGGTGCTCGTCTTAGCTAGAACTCATGTGAAGCGACACAAGCGAAGCATACGCACCACCAGGAATCTTCATTAAACCAAGATTATAAAAAAAAGTTACGGAAGTAGTGAATCTAGTGATCACATAACTTGGTGCTCGTCTTAGCTAGAACTCATGTGAAGCGACACAAGCGAAGCATACGCACCACCAGGAATCTTCATTAGCCTCTCGTGTCTTCCTTTCTCAGCAACCACACCGTTTTTATGATCTGCGTTCTTGATCGTACTAAGCCTATGAGCCACCACAACCGTGGTCCGATTCACCATCACACGCTCAAGCGCGTCCTGCACCACCCGCTCAGACTCCGCATCCAACGCACTAGTCGCCTCGTCGAGCCAAAGAATCTTGGGATCTTTAAGAATGGCACGAGCGATCGCTATCCGCTGCTTCTGACCGCCTGACAGTTGAACGCCGACGTTTCGTACCCTTGAGGCAATGAGCTGATGAAGTTATGAGCATTGGCCGCTTTCGCTGCGGTTGTGATGTCCTCTTCAGTGTATCCTCCGGTTTTGCCGTAGACTATGTTTGATCTAATCGTCTCGTTGAAGAGAACCGGTTCTTGGCTAACCAAACTCATTTGTTGTCTTAACCATCTCAATTTGAACGTTTGAATCTCCACCTCGTCTAGAAGTATCTTGCCTGAATCCGGATCGTAGAACCTCTCAATCATGCTTATCACTGTCGATTTCCCGCTCCCACTCTCCCACCAATGCAACGGTCTGAAAAAATCAAAGAAAACAAAATCATCAAACTCTTAAACCGTTCGGTATGTATGACTAAACCGGGAAATCCTCTGTTTCAAGTGTTTATTTTTGAAATATACCTTGCCGGAAGGGATAGTCAAGCACAAGTCACGAAAGATCTGAATGTCTGGCCTTGTAGGGTAACGGAAAGCGACGTGTTTAAACTCGATGTCACCTTTCACGATCGGTAACGTTGTCCCTTCATCTGAGCTCGAGTCAATCTCCGGTTTACGGTCTAAAATATCGAAAATCGAAGTTGCAGAGTCTTGTGCTTTGGTCATATCTGGTGCCAAAGCACTTGTATTAGATACTCCTACTGCTGTGATCGTTAGTGCAAAGAAAACCTGCAAACAAAAAAAATATAAACCACTCAAAATCATACATCAAAAGCCTAAACCAAACCAAACCGAAAAAAAAAAATCGTCAAATTTTCTGTTTGGCTCTTACATTGAAGAATTCCATAAATGTGGCCTCGCCATTCTGAATGTAATAGGAACCAGCAAAGAAACATATGGCATAGAAGCTGTAGAGCGCAAAGAACGACAAACCATAACCGACACCGCTCACGAGTCCTACCAAAACACCTTGTTTCTTAGCTCCCTCGCATTTTCTTGCGTACAAGTCCATCACTTTTCTCTCGGCGCAGAAAGATGCTACCGTTCTTATGCTGCTCACCGCCTCGTTTGCAACCTGACTCGCCTCTTCGTATTTCTCCTGAAAAAGTAGTAAAACCGGGATCAGCAACAACAGAGATCAAACCGGTTTACGGAAATAAACCGAAATTTTCAAACTAACTAACCTTGGCATCTGCGCTGTAACGGCTGAGAATCTTGTTCTCAAGTAGTCCTAGGAAAAAAAGGATCGGTCCAATGCAAAGTACAATGAAAGCTAACTTCCAATTAGCCACAAACGCTATTATCAAACCAGCCGCAACATTCGTTAGACTTTCCACGATCAAAGCCAACGCATCACCAACTAGACTTTTCACCGAAGATGCATCCGTGGACAATCTTGCTCCAATCGCACCGCTAAAACAAGAAACGCAAAAAATATGAAACTTAGAACATTTTATTTTTAGAATAAATAAGATTTTTGCATGTATATACCTGGAATTGGCGGAATCATCGAACCAACTAATTTCTTGGTGCAAGACTTTGTCAAATGTCATGGACCGGATGCGTCTGATTAGTTTTCCACCAGCAATACCAAAGAAATAGTTCTGAATCGGAACTGCTACCAAATTAACGAAACCGATCAAAACGTAAATGAGCGACCAGTAATGCGCATCTTTCTTTAACTCATCGGGAGTCTCAAATAACATGGTGATGGAGCTTGATAGTAGATAACCAAAGATCGGGTACATAGTGCCATGAACCATTGCAGCCACTGAACCAAGCAATAGAACAGGAGTCTCTGCCTTGTTGAGGTGAGCAAGCCGTCTCAACGACACCTTCTTCCGGCTTCCAACGGTTTTGCTTCCGTAAGAGGTGCTATCTTGATGATATTCATCGTTAAAGTAACTTCTTCAAGAGGTCCTACTCACCGCTGAGAACCTTTGGCTTTCGTTTAGATCAATGATATCTCGAAAAGATTCACATTTCTCTGGTTCTTTTATGTTTCCTCCTTCTTTTGATCCTTCTTGTAAGCGGACAAGCTGTGAATAAGCTCCATCTGGATCTTGAATCATCTCCTCGTGAGTTCCTATGCAAAACATTATAAACCATTTTATAAAAAATGTTATCATTATACATTTCAAAAATTTCGCTAAAGATTTTTACCTTTTTCAACGATTTTGCCTTGGTGCACAACAGCTATCATGTTTGCTGATCTTATGGTGGTTAGCCGGTGAGCCACCACAACGGTGGTTCGATTAGCCATTAGCTTCACTAACGCATCTTGAAAAATATGTTCGGACTCTGCATCTAAAGCGCATGTAGCTTCATCTAGAAGAAGTATTTTAGGGTTTTTCAGTATCGCTCTTGCGATCGCAATCCTCTGTTTCTGTCCGCCAGACAATTGTGTCCCCTTCTCTCCTACCATTGCGTCTAAGCACTAAAATTTACCAAAGAATGTCACTAAACAAAAAGACAAAATATGTTTCTTGAGATGTATTAATTTTCAAGTACCTCTGGGAAAGTATCAATGAATTTAGATGCATTAGCGAGCTCGGTCGCAGTTCTAATCTCATGATCAGTTGCGTTTTCTTTACCATAAGCAATGTTCTCTCTGATTGTGGTTTCGAAGAGTGTTGGTTCTTGGCTAACAAGACCGATCTTGCTTCTGATCCATTTCAGTTTAAGCTTCTTCAAATCATGGCCGTCTAGTAGCACCTCCCCTGACTCAGGATCATAGAATCTTTCAATAAGACCGATCACTGTCGATTTACCGCTCCCGCTCTGTCCCACTAGAGCCACAGTTGTGCCGCTCTGTATAAACAAGGAGAATCCAGCGAAGATCTGCACTTCAGGTCTAGCCGGATACGTGAAGTGCACGTCTCTCAGTTCTATGTCACCTCGAATCTCATCCAAGACCACACCGCTTGTATCATAAGCATCAATCTTTGGCTCCCTTTTGATTGTCTTGAACATTTTGAAAGTTGCGGCTTGTCCTGACGCAAAAGCATTAAGACAAGGAGATGTCTGTCCTAATGACCTACAAAGTGAAGTATGTACAGAATTTAGAGCTTGCTTTTAGGACAAGTTATTACGTGTGAGATGAATGTACTTATGTATATATAGTTATATACTCACATTGCGCCAGAAAGGACAGCAAAAATCACGTTTATGACTTGACCACCATCGTAACCTTTCTCTATTATCAGCTTGGCACCGTACCAAACCGCGAAACCGTAGCTAGAGAAGGTCACAAACAACGTCACCCCAAGCCCTAGACCCGAGATCAACCCTTGTTTAACCGTAGTCTTATATGCAATGTCGAGCTTTTCATTGTATTTTTCTATCGCTTGTTTCTCCCCCGTGAATGCCACCACCTAAGATACATTATATTAGTTATTGAGACGAAACCAATATTGAAACGCAAGAATTTCAGTGGCGATAACTTACTGTTCTGATTCCTCCAATGGCCTGTTCAACCACGTTACCCGCTTCCGCATAAGCGGCTTGTCCATCACCAACAACTTTGGACATGGTTAGTGCCATTGTTGCACCTACGGTACGATCAGAGGGATGCATACCAGAAGAATTAGAGTGAGCTCCCATCCTCTTATAAAAGCCACCACGAATCCACCAAAGAACGTTGCCATGAGCTGTAGGAATTTTCCGACTTTTTCTCCCATGGCATCTTGAATTAAAACGGTGTCTCCAGACATTCTTCCGATGACTTCTCCTGTGCTTGTCTCGGTGTCGAAGAATTCTATGTCTTGTCTTAATATCGTCTTAAGGTATAGACTGCGAATTCTGGTGGATTGACGCTCTCCAGTAACCACCCAGCATGAGACCTCTACATAAGAACCAAAAAGGTATACGTTAGCTTGGATCACGAGGTAGGGTAAATGTGAGGACAAACAAATGAGAGCAAGTGTAGACTTACGTAGGAAGGAGAAGAGACATGCATAAGCCGCAAGGTAAAGAATCTTCACTGCAATCTAATTTTTTTTTACCAGTAAAAGTAACATAAGAGTAGTAAATTAGTAGTGAATACAGTAACAAACAGCATAAAATAAGAGTAGACTGAAAGATCATGCATGCGGAATTTAAATAATGCTATAGTGACGTTATTTATTTTTAACAGAGTAACAAACTGTTTCTAACTAGAGAAAGCATTTGGGAGATGTTCACGTTAAATATTTAAACTAAAGGTATGACAAACTAAAGAACAAGTTTTAAAATAATGTCAAGAAAGGAAAAGAAAAAGAAAATAGATATGATTTGAAAGGAAGAACAAATATTTCTTCCAAATTAAAAAGAAATATTTTGCTTTAACAAAAAAAAAATGTTTTGAAAACAGCAGAAGATAAAACTAAAAGTACGTTTTCATACAAATTATTTGTATATAAATGCTTATAAGGTAAGTATTTACAAGAAAATATACAAAGAAATGACATGAAGAAATTTTTTTGATTTGTTTCCTTGTAAAAAATATATATTTGACTAAGAAGCTGGAAAACATGAACATAATCAAGAAAAACGGAAATTAAAAAAGGACGAGAAAAATACAACTAAACATTTTGATGATTCATGTACAACTAAACTATAAAAAAAGACTAAAAAAGGAAAAAAAATATATAATCATTTTGATGATTCATGTACTAAACTATAAAAAAGAAAGGACTAAAATTAAAAATAAAAAGACTAAAAAGAAAATAATAATAATATGGATTTTTGTTCCGAAAAGAAAGATAACTAATATGGATTTACCCTTCCTAGAATACACATATACATTGAATATCTATGTATATATGACTATGATGATAGTTCAATCAATCAATATGATGATAAGTTCCGTTCTGATAATGGAACAAAAGTTTGATAAACGTTTATGAAATGTAACTTAAATCCAGTAATAACTAAGTTAAACGATTCATAAATCAAACAGGCCAATTTTGATACATTATTTCAACTCACTAACCCAATATGAACAAAAACAAGTTAAGAATTCTAACCTTGGAGACTTCTTTAAAAATGTCAAAAGAGCCAAATGCGTTGACGATCTGGCCAAATAATAGAGTCAAAAGCGGCTGAGTCAGGCCGTTGGCCACGGCGGAGATGGTCCCGACGGTCATCAAGCCAATGTCCTTTCTGTCAGCAAACGAGAAAAGCTTGTAAAACGGCACTTTTTCATCCTTCACTTTGCTCCTCTTTCTTTTCTCTCCCTCCATTGCTTCCCTCTCATCTTCTTTTAAAATATCTATCTTGTCTTCCTCCATAGTATTTATTTCTCAGTAAAACAAAGAATTTATGAATAACTGTGGATGGTTTTTTTCTTTCTTTCTGTCAAATAAAAAATCGAAACTTTTTTCTTTCTGTCAAATAAAAAATCGAAACTTTCACTACTGAAAGGACCATCCACCTCTGCCACCTATATAATCATCACAAGGCATGAATGTTTTTCTTTCCTTTTTAAAGAATACGTAATTAAAAATCTTATTATATAAAGTTGGATGCGCACGATGTGGTTTCGACACGTAGAATTTTTATAATTTATAAAATCGTGACATGTGTCATTATTAATTATGAAAATATTAAGATCGTGACATGTGTCATGTAATTAAAAAATAAAATAATATACCTATATAATACCAACAAAAAATCAAACAATTAAAAATAAAAATATTACATCTATTAGGAAAAGCAAAGAAAAAACATAATCCTATTATGAAAAGGAAAAAAACGAAAATCAGAAAAATATGAAAAAAAAATAATTAAAAAAATGTCACTTTCACTAAGAAAATGAATAAAAAATATATTTCCATTACGAAAAAAAAAAATATTTAAACAAGCTGTATTTTGTTTAAATTTCTCTCTCATTACGAAATAAAAAATGATGTCTTTAAAAGTTCAAGATGTCAATGAAGAATATTTAACTTTAGATCTATGGATTGAAATCAAAATGACTATTGCTACATGTGTCTAATATTTAATTAGATGATAACATATAGGTTAACACAAGAAAATTAGAAAAATGTAATAACAGAAATATAAAAAAACTAATAAAATAATTGTAAAACAACTAAGTAATAATGAAAATAAAAATTTATAATGGTCAGAGGCAAAAAAAAATGAAAAAAACAATACAAATAGAAAACTAAGAAAATAATTATCAAGGAACTAAATAATCTTAAAAAGAAATTTGTATAATGGACCGATCTTCAAATATTAAATAGTTTAATTTTTTTTTGAAAATCTTTATTTTTATTTTTTTGTTAGGTAAAACAATATTAAAAATAAAGATTTCATCAATTGAAATCTCTTAAATGGAATAATCAAAGTTTCATGAATTAATGAGTCGATTAGATTTAGACATGTCTGAATCTTTCTAATTTAGATAAAAATAAAGGGATAACAAATTAATTTATTTTTCATATCATGAATTCAAAATAAAAATGTAAAAGGATTACATATTTTATTTTATTAAGAGAAATGTTATTTCAAAAATCGTAAAATAAACTCGCGTATACGCGGGGCCTAATCTAGTGTTAGTGTTTAGATAAAGTTGGAGATAATTTACCAAACATATATATTCCGATCAAAAGAATATTAGGCCCATTATTATTTGTTCTTAAAGGCTTTGCAGTAAAGGGATAATTAGCCAAAACAGCGTTTATGAATGTTTGTGTTTACTTTGACAATTCATTTGATTTATGTACATCTTATAATTATGCGACTTGAATTCATTTATGTTTTAAAACACTAATCAACATTAGCATTGGGCTAACGAGTCAACAATGATATAGGAGTGACATACAAACTAGCAAAGCTTAAAGATGAATAGATATCGATAGGATATAAGCAATATGGAACCAGAAGCTGTGACCTCTCAAGTCTCAAACCCACTGATGTTAACTTGAGCTTGGAGCTTTTAAAACCGATTTTCAATCCCAAACTTGATCATTCTAAACCCGGTACTAATTTCTGGTCGTTCCATTTGTCCAACCTCTTCCTAGATTCCTCCACCTGAATTATATAACATTCATGAAAAAATTGCATCTAGGAAATTCAAATTATTATAACTTTATCAGCTGCATCAAATGATTGTTACCTCTTTTCTCCAGTCCGTACTAAACGTGACCCACCCCAAAATAATTGTTTGTACGACCGTGGCACATATCATTCCCGTCCATATACCCTGCAACATTCACAATTTAAACAAAAGAAAAAACATAAGTACAACCATTAATCTATAATATTTTTCATTGCAAGAATCATTCGATAAAGACAAAAACCATATGCTAAATGAAACCAAAGCTAGAAGAATATTTTACCTTAGCACCGAACTCGAAGTAAAACCCAAAAAGAGCCCCAATTGGTATACCAAACATGTAGTAACACGCAACATTAACTTTCGCCACGAATGTTTGCCATCCGCATCCAACCGCCACACCTTTGATGTTATCAGAAAGAAAAAAAAACTATTATATCATTCAAACTATATTAGCTTTATTATAATATGAAATTATGGTACTACAAAGATAATGTTTACCAGAAAGAACAGGTTGGATTCCATTGAGGATAATTGTAAAGGCAAGAAGCGGGCATAGCTCAGAAACAGCCTCCGCGACCGTTTCTCCCTCGGTGAATGCATAGCTCAACACATTGCGGCACGCTAAAATGGTGATGGCGAAGATTATGGAAATGATTAACGAATATACGTTGACGACCATAACTGAAAATGCAGCAGATTTAGGGTTTCCAGCTCCAATTTCATTGCTCACTCTTACACTGAAATTAAGATAATTACAACATTTTTTCAACAGCACAACTAATATGCAAAAAAATTGGGGTCTAGTCATGAAGAGACATGACACGTTCCTTATTGCAGCATTAAATCCAATAGCTATCGTGTAACTCCAGCTTGCCAGCGTCATGCTACAATCCAAACCAAAGGGGAAAAAGTGTGTAAAATTATTAGTTATACATTTATTCATGAACATAAAATTTTATAATAATATTTATAGTTTTTTTCATTGTAAGGATTACTAGTATTAATTATATATTATTAATTCATTTTTATTAAATAAAATAAATTGGTTCATAATAAATATTTGAATCAAGTTTATGTACTAATGATGTTTTTTAGACTATTCATGATCATATGCCCTCGTAGTTGTCTTACACATTAATATATTCCAAGCAAAATAAAGTAGAAAATTATCAGAACTAATAATCAGTGATTGAATTGTACGTATCCTACTACCCTTTAACCAAGTCGACAAAAAGAAAATGGTGCGATTGCGAATTGTAACTCTGACGGCTGAAGTACAAGATTCCTTTCTGAATTAAACAAAATGATTGCATGTGAGCATTAGAGTTTCGAAATAAACTAACGTGATTTGATCGTTTTCACTTTCAAATTTCAATTAATTTAAAGCAAAACTAAAATAAAACTGAGAATTCGACGCTTACTTAAGCGTAACCTTAATGCCACGTGGCAGCTCACGATTCGTTAGGTGAAAATGAGAAGAAAAAAAAAACCCTCGCTCCCGTTCACTTTCCCTTCTCTCTGTTTTCTCTCTCTTTCCTGTCTCCGATGGCGATTCACCGGTTGCCGATTTTGTTCTTCGCTCGCCTTCAGGTACTGTTTTCATGGCTTAAAATGTATGATAATTCTCTGGTTTCAGTAAAATTTTCAGTGGGGAACGAAAATTATTTTGCTGGGTAATTCAGGTTTTGATAGTCTCTTCTTATTCCTCAGGAATTTTCCTCAGCTCTGTTGATTCATGCTTCAGAATCAGAATTAAAGCAAAAAGTTAAGTGTTGCTTTTTTTTTTTCTTTTTTTGGTTTTCAATTACTATGATCATCCCAGTAAATAATTGTGTCTGTAATCAGCTAATTTTGTTCTGTGGCTATGCAGTTACTTTGATTCACTCATAAAAATGGCGACTGGAGTATTTCCAGCTCCGTTTTCTGGGGTCAAGGGCCCGAATTCGAAACTCGGATTCTCAAAAAGCATGAATTTTGTGAAAATTTGTGATTTGAGAAGTCTAAGAAGGAAGGAAGCCTTCTCTTAGGTATATGATATATGCATTTAGATTCTCATTTTCAACCTTTCGTGTTGTTTGAAGTGACTGATTGATTGTATGTAATATTGGTTTTTGTAGTGCCAAGACAGAAAATGTTGTGAATCATTGCATAAGACAGTGAGAAGGAAGACGCCTACTGTTATGGTTGGAAATGTCGCTCTCGGAAGCGACCATCCGATAAGGATTCAAACGATGACTACATCAGATACTAATGATGTTGCTGGAACTGTTGAAGAGGTTTTTTGCATCTCTCCCTAAAATCTATTTGAAGTTTTGAAGATATTGCTTTGTTAAACATATCTGTTGTTGGTTCTGTGATTGGAGGTTATGAGAATAGCATATAGAGGAGCAGATATTGTGAGGATCACTGTTCAAGGGAAGAAAGAAGTCGATGCATGCTTTGAAATCAAAGATAAACTTGTTCAGCTTAAGTAAGTCTCCATGGCCGTATTGAGTTTATGATATAATAGGTATGAAACTGAATGGGTGTATTGCATGTGGCTTTACAGTTACAATATGGGGTTTAAATATCGCGTTTGTTCGATTCTTAGAGAGGTAAAGTGTTTAGAGTCTCAGATAGATCATAGATCATCTCCAAGATCATGTGTAGAAACAGCATCATCATCTTCATTAGGTTGTGAGATTGGTGAAGATAGAGAAGAAGAAGATTCAAGTAATTTACCTGTTTCCAAGTTGATAAAGAGTCATGGATCAATCATTATAATTATTTGTGAACACTTTGGATTTGATCATAGTAAACTGTGAAAAATTGCAGGTTGATCTTCTTGGGGATCAAGTCGATTCGCTAGTGAAGCTTCTCCAGAAAATCTGTTGGACATTCCATCAATATCCATTGCTTCTCTGCAATCACTCGTATGTAAGTTAACCTCTTTGTTTAAGCAAAATTTAACCGGTTCGCAAGTACAATAAACGGAATGACGCAGGAGAAGATATCTTATTAATCAATTGAATATCGAGCTACAACAAGTCAATATCAAAGATTAAACTAAGAGAATCTCGTCTGTCGCTCGTCGTAGATCGTAGTTCGTCGTATCTAGGTTGTTCGTCGCTTGCTCGTCGAGAGGCGAAGAACAAGTAGCTATTAGGGTTTTTGTGTGTTTTTCTGAATGTGTCTCTTGTTCTAGGACCTCTTATTTATAGGTGTTCGTCGGTCCTAGTCCTTATCGAGTTGGGCTTTGACGTCGATCGTAACTTTCTATTTCCTACGTCGGTCGTCATTCCTAATTTCCTTTTAATTAGAAGTGCACGTCGGTCTTCTACACAACTCCAATAGATTTAGGAAATTGTACAAACCATTGGTCATTGCTAAACCATTAATTAACATCGTTGGTCGCTGCCTCGTCATGTCGATGCTAAGGCCTTTTAGACACTAAGAAGTAAGATCGACCGGTCGTCATGGTCGTCAGTCGATCATATCTCCAGCTTATAATAGAGTTTAAGGAGCGACCGGCTAGTGAATTTATTTCACCCAACAACTTGCCCCCTACTCTTCAATTTCTTTTTAGAATTTGTAGAGTAATATTTCAACTGCATATTGTCGGTCGCTGTTCGATAATTGCCATTTATGACTGTAGATTATGTAGATCTTTCCATAACGTCGACACTCCATTTTTGTTCAAGTTGACGCCATCGACCGCGGTCCCAGAAAAGGTACACAAGGACATGCGAATGAATTCAATAATTAAATGCATTAAAAGAATTGGAGACACAGACATACCATTCTCCCCATTTTTATGTTGCTCACGTTATTTTTTAAAAAAAGAGTCCACATACTTTTATGATTTCGCATGCACCTCTCCTTTCCTCTTTTACTTCTCTCCTCTGTCCATTGACCAAATGAAGGAGCAGCGACAAACACTTCCTTATTTAATTCCATGAAAATAATAAAGAAAGATTAGGACATACATATTTTAATATTAATATAGGGCTGGTTAAAAAGGGAAATGGACAAACATCTTTCTCCAATGGATCTTGAGCCATGAACGTCCTTCCTCATTAATTATGCAGTGGTGTTGGTCATTCACGTGAGAAATAACCAACAACATTGCTTGTGTCTCCTTCTTTTTCTCTTAAATAGTCGAGCTTCATATTCCAATCTAAAATACAGAGTAATTTCTTCAAATCGTCAGTCGCTGCTCGACAATGTTGTTTGGTACCTTGATCATTTCCCAATGTAGACGTTATTTACTTCTTTTGTATGTCGCTCTTTTGTCACCTTTTGTCTTGGTCTTATACGACCTAATAAAAATCAGCAAGAACAAACACATTTTATATGTTTGCCTTTACTTGATCGCTCGAAAGTATGTACTTGCCGTGCAACAACAAAGATATATTGACCTCATGGATCTTATATCAAAGGTGCGCAAGGACATACACACATAATAGGAGATGCAATGACAAGGATGTTGCCCCCTTTTGGATTTGACCACAATGAATTTATAGGCCATGGCTCATCTATTGTTGAGCATCGACTATTTCAGAACTTGCTTTCTCAGTGGATAAACAGTTACTTGATTGTGAGGGTTTTATCCCTTAATTTATTATCATATTTTGATGAGGACGTACCTCTTGATTTAGTAACTGTTGTCACAGATTATTGAGAACGTACCTCTTCATTTGTTAGCTAATGATTTAGGATCATAACATTTGCCCCTTTGTTAATCAAAGAGCGACGTGGCGTCATAGTCTATGGAGGTCATACCTCTAACTTATTTATTAGCGACTGTCGTTGATATCTATTGAGTACGTACCTCTTTATTTATCATATCATGACTTATCATGGTGAGGTTGTACCTCTTAATTTGTTAGCGACTGTTGTCACTGTATATTGAGGACATGCCTCTCTATCTATTTGCTTATGACTTGTTGTCACAGCATGTGGAGGTCGTACCTCTAAATCAATTATTAGCGATTGTCATCGCTCTTACTTATATTGAGTATATGACTCTTTATGACTTGTCGTCATAACATGTGGAGGTCGTACCTCTAAATTAGTTATCAGCGACTATCGTCGATGTCGATATACATTGAGTACATGACTCTTATCTTTCTATTGACCATGGTCAATTTGCTCATGAGGCATTGCCCTTAGTTTTTTTTTAAAGAAACGTCGATCGTCGTTGTTGCTCTATCATGAGGAGGCAATGCCTTTTTTTTTTTTTTTTACTGTCGTTTGTCATAAGCAATGCAATGACTTTGCTGCAATGCCTACCCCGAAAGCCGATCCTGTCACTCCAAGATTGTTTACACCCGAGCCTCTTCTACATCCTGAGCGACTTTGCTCTGGCTCTCACGTTATTAATGGCTATGCTAGCGCTAGTGCTAGTGCTAGTGCTACTCCCCATGACTATGAAACTGCCCCTGAGGTTTCTTTTGTTGAGGTAACATTGCTTTCTTGTGTTGACTTTGAGAAGAGAACTTACAAGTTATTGCTACTGCTCTAACTGATACTTGTTTCCTTTGTTTACCTTAGACACCTGAGGCAATGTATCTAGAAGAGGAGGTTCAGGGGATTCAACAGAATCCAGAAGATGAGCCTGAGAACGGAATAAATGAAATGGTGGATGATGATGAAGACGAGGAGAAGGATAAAGAGAATGAAAACGAAGCCGAGGAAGATCATAACTGGGTGGACAGTGGGTCTGAGTTTGTATTGAACTCGCAGCAGCTTGTGGAAGCCTTGTCTCTTTGCGATGATCTCTTGCAGGTATCACAGGACAGAGAAGGAAACGTAAGCAATGGTGGCTCAAGGAACAAGCAGCCGTGTTTTGCTGATTACGCGCATCTAGGAACAGAAGACTTCAAACGGGATCTGGAGGATTGTCAGAGACTGGTTCTTGATCCCTCCAACATTGACCTCGATACTCCACCTGACTTTCGTCTGAGCCAGCTGGTAAAACTTACATCCCTTTTGTTATTATCTTTAGGAAACTTTTTTGATGCAATCAGGTACAGAAGGTAAATGGGTTTTGTTATGCTCTCTGTTCAGGAATTTGGATCAGAGGATAGCTTTCTTGCTTGGGGCACTGGAAAGACTGATAACTAAGCAAAAACTTCACACGAGCTCGAGAGTCGAGACTATGGAACGCATTGATAATATTTTTTGGTTGGCATAACGGTGCCACGCTGCTGTATGATATTTTCCTTTGCTTGTCAAGTGCTTTGGGTTTCAAACTGTTTCGCTTTTTGTTTTTCGGGTTTAGAAGGAACTACTTGGGAACGTGTTTCGGATCTAACTTGCTCTTTGTCCGTATGTAAATGATGATGCTTTTGAGAATTTAACCGAGTTTAAAAACCTTAGATGTGTTGGCTCTATCATAAACTCGTTCTTACTGAAGTCGTTTTCTCTCAGTTAACACCAAAACCAGTCTTGGTCATTTTTATATGTAAACATGTTTGATTCTATCGGTTGATTGTTTATTCACAAGCTTTCTCTCAAGCCGAAATTGCTTAGGTAAGCACGTTCCTTTAACTTTAATGAAAGAATGTGTTTAAGAAACAAACAGCAGGTTTGCCCGAGTGGTTAAGGGGGAAGACTTAAGTTCTTCTGCACATAAGTGCGCGTGGGTTCGAACCCCACAGCCTGCATATATATGTTTTTATTTATTTTTCATTCGCTAGCTGCAAGATCGCAAGTATGTACAGTATGATTCTCGCATACTGATTTGGGATTCACTCGGAGTCGCACCATTTCTTAAAATTTTAGCTCTCTTTCTTGTTTCCACTATCTTTTTCTTTTACTTTATCCTTTAATCTGAGCAGCATGCCAGCATCTTGCTGTAAAAACAGTCTGAAAGAAGCTTTTTGTTTGGTTCCAACAAATATAGCATTACAAAGAAAAAAGGTTACACTAAAACAAGTTGGATGGGTCGACCTCTGGAGGGGTATGTATCAATGTATGTGTCAAAATTAATGAGCTGTGATTTAAGCCCATTGAATCCGAGGCCATAAGTCAATGATCTCAGAGAAAACCGGAACGTTAGTGGCTTAGACCGGGTCTTGTCTTATTCTCATTGTAGTACTGTGAAAGTGTGAAGGAAACGACAAGCAGGCGAGTCACGGATTCAGACTTCAGAGAATTTAATATCTTCCATTTACTTCGACCGCGTTGTCCTCTGAGTCTGTGACAGTCACTTTCGTAACTAACTACTAACCACGTTTGGCTCTTTTGTTTTTCACTCTAAATTTTCATCATGTACATACCAGTAATTTGGGTTGACCGAAATGCTTAATCCAACCAGAAAGTGGGTACCATGATCAGAAATCCGCCTTAATTTTCTCGTCATTAGAAAAGAGAAGAGTTTACTTTGGCTTGATTAAACTAAGATTATACCAGTTTGACTTGGTTACCAAATAGACCACAATTTCATATACTTTTGTAATAAAAGGAAAAAAGGAGTTAATGGTTGGTTGGGGTTCAGTATATCGACGGTGAATTTTAGGTGGTGGTGAATATTTGTCTGGTTGTGCATGGTGGCCACGTCATGATGACTTGTAGAATTTGCAATCTTCACTGACGTAACTCTTTTCATTCATTCATTGGCTCTTCTCGCGAGACAAACACACACACACACACTCTCTCTCTCTCTCACTACATTTTTGACACTATCTATCTACTCGTTTTCTGTTTCGTACACAAGTTGTGTAACACACAACTACTATTCCATTGCATTATTACAACAAAAGAACAAAAAAAAAAACAGATAATCAATTTAGCTCAAATAGTTAGTCAAAACAGAATATTGAAAAGGAACAACAAATAGTAAAAAGCGAATCCATAGGGGAATAAAAAGTGAAAATAAAGTCAGCAGGAAGTGTGTAAAATGTCTCCTTTAATCACCCAACTAAACTCAGTCCACCCGCTAATCTCGCCTTCATCTTCCTTCTTCCTCCAAAAAATCACACTGCCATACACATTGGAGAGGCTTCCTTTACTCTCCACACTCTCTCTCTCTCAAACCATAATTCAACTAATTCCAACAATGCCCTTATCTCCCTCCTTCTTCCTCTCTCTCTCCTCCATCTTCCTCCTCCTCCCCCTCTCTCTCTCCTCACCATTCAGTAAGTCTCTCATCTTCTCCGTCTAGATCTGATGATAATGATTAATGATGATGAACTGAATCCTCCCTCTGTTTTGTAGATACTTCTATCTTCATCGACTGTGGAAGTCCCGAAGGCTCCACGGACAATTTCAACAGAACATGGCTTCCCGATCGGTTCTACTCCGGAGGAAGCACCGCAGTCGTATCCGAGCCTCTCCGTTTCCATCTCGTCGCCGAGAAGACCATCAGGTACTTCCCTCTCTCCTTCGGGAAAAAGAACTGCTACGTCGTCCCGCTCCCTCCCGGCCGTTACTATCTCAGGACTTTCACAGTTTACGATAATTACGACGGCAAGTCTCATACCCCGTCCTTCGATGTCTCCGTCGAAGGAACTCTAGTCTTCTCCTGGAGATCTCCTTGGCCGGAGAGTCTCCTCCGCGACGGCTCTTACTCCGATCTGTTCGCTTTCATCGGAGACGGAGAGCTCGATTTGTGCTTCTACAGCATCGCCACTGATCCTCCGATCGTAGGCTCGCTCGAAGTCTTACAGGTCGATTCGTCCTCGTACGACGCCGACGGGACTGGCCAGAACGTTCTGCTGGTTAACTACGGGAGGCTCACGTGCGGGTCGGATCAGTGGGGGCCTGGGTTCACCAACCACACCGATAGTTTCGGGCGGTCGTGGCAATCGGATGAGGAATTCCGATCGGAGGACTCGAAATCGGCGGCGAGGTCGTTGTCGACGGAGGAGAGGATCAAGGGGGTGGAGCAGGCGCCGAATTATTTCCCGATGAAGCTTTACCAGACGGCGGTGACGGTATCCGGAGAGGGATCGTTGGTTTACGAGCTGGAGGTTGACGCGAAGCTTGATTACTTGCTGTGGTTCCATTTCTCGGAGATTGATTCGACGGTGAACAAGGCTGGGCAGAGAGTGTTTGATCTGGTGGTGAACGATGAGAAAGTGAGCAGGGTCGATGTTTTCGGCGAGGTCGGGGGATTTGCGGCGTTTAGCTTGAATTATACGGTGAAGAATCTGAGCAGTACTACGGTGACGGTGAAACTTTCGCCTGTTTCTGGTGCGCCGATTATCAGTGGGCTTGAGAATTACGCCATTGTTCCCGCTGATATGGCCACTGTGCCTGAACAAGGTAATGTCAAATTAAGCATACATAATTCGTTTTTTTTTATTTGAGCAAATTTGGCAAGCTTTGACTCTCTGTTTGTTTTTGCAGTGACTGCTATGAAAGCATTGAAGGATTCACTACGTGTTCCTGATAGGATGGGATGGAATGGAGATCCATGTGCGCCTACGAGCTGGGACGCTTGGGAAGGAGTCGCGTGCCGGCCAAACCCACAAGGATCTGGCCTTGTCATATTCCAAATGTGAGTGTCATGGATGCATACACCTAATCAAAACTTATCTTGCCTTATTCGTAGTCACATTGTAAAGTAGATTAGACGGATATAGTAAGAAAGAGCAAATAAATTACCTGATTTAGTTAGGTGCATCTCTATTGGTTTACTGTAGCTTAAAGGTTACAAATTATGTTATTTATCTTGAACAGTTTCTCGATCTTGCTGTTATCATAAGTTGTTCGAACCAATGTATAGTAACTTTGTTGCCTTGTTGGTGCTTATAAAGTTATAATTTGTTATGCATGCATTACAGTTTCTTACTATTAATGTGTAATTGTTTTAATCTGTTACAGAGACCTAGGAAGCCAAGGCTTGAAAGGATTTATCAGTGAACAAATTAGTCTGCTGACAAATTTGAATAGCCTGTAAGTTATCACCTTTTGACTTGGATTTTTCATCTCCGAGTTCATAGCTAATTACGATGCAATTGGATGCATGCTGATGAGTTTTTTTTTTTTTTTTTTTGTATTTGCTTGCAGGAACTTAAGTTCAAATTCCTTAAGTGGTCTACTACCTTCAGGTCTTGGTCATAAATCTCTTGTGAGTCTGTAAGTTAACATACCTCTGCTCACGATAACTTGTCCAGTTTTATCATAGACGACCTTGATGCTGTTTTCAAATTGTAGACTAGTTTCATATAAAGGAATGCATTTAAGATGACAACAAAACCATGTTATTGGAGTGTGCGGATGGTTTAGAGAAACGATTGTGGCTCTGTAAATATATATTCACTGTTTGCTTATTGATCCGCAGTGACTTGTCAGACAATCAGCTCACAGGACCAATACCTGAAAGTCTGACTTCTTCAAGCTTAAAGCTCGTGTAAGAAGCTGCTTCTTATCAATCTTTTAACTAAACTGTTCTGTGTCGATATTTTTCTCCATTCCATGTGAACTACAAACCACTAACAGAGATCCTGAGTCCTGACTGTATGTTTATGTTGTATTTAGGCTTTTGAATGGCAACGAACTGCAAGGAAAGGTACCAGAGGAGGTTTATTCAGTTGGTGTTCATGGTGGAATTATCGAGTATGTTAATCCCAAAAGTCCACATGCAATTTTGTTTTTTTTATCTATGAGCTCACACTCAACTACAATACTCTTTTTAACAGTCTCTCTGGAAACAAAGGATTATGCGGTGTACCTTCTCTTCCCTCTTGTCCGCTGTTATGGGAGAATGGTCACTTGTCCAAAGGTGGTAAAATAGCCATAGCCGTATCTTGTGTGGTGATACTCGTTCTGGTGCTCTTGGTCATTTACTTGTGCTGCATCTGGAGAGGAAGACATGATTACGACTTTGCCCCTCCTCACGATCTTACATGTCAGTCAAAAAATCCCTCTTAATTGAAACAAGATTATAAGACAATTCTTGAATCTTGCTCCTAACTCTGTTTTTGAATGTGTTTGGCACAGCGCTTGCAGCAAAGAGAAACAGATACCAGAGGCAGAAGTCGTTAATGCTACTGGAAATGGAGAGTCAACACGCAAAAGGAATGCCCACACTTCCACTGAATTCATCATAATAGTCAGAGAAAGAGAGATAGAAAGATATTTGACTTGGACAGAGAAGCAAGAAGATGAGATGAGGATTAAGAGGTTTCTTCTGTGTAATTAGTATACAAAGCATTTACTCCTCAAGAAGACCACAAGTAACATTGAAGAAAGGCAATGAATCAAGAGTGTGCAATTCCCCCAAAAAGTAAGAACTCAATCTTCCTTGTAATTTCAGTTTTGGGTCTTCCTTAGATATATTAATTATTTGATGTAAACATTCTTACTTACGCCTTCCATGTATCTGTCTTACTATGTATCATACCACATTGTTCTTGTTCCCATTTTTTAGTGATATCATATCACCACACCATATATAGATTAACCGATTAACCAAACTTGTCTTTCTTAAGGATATTTCTCTATATCAATCAAGATATTACATCCCTAATGATACTCTTATGACAATTTACATTCATGTTCAATAGTCTTTACAGTGTAGTCTAGTTCTAGTTTGTTTTTTAAGTAATTAGTTCCTTCCTTTTCTGACCAATGCTCTGTTTTTAGTTTTTAGTTGTTTTACTGCTTTTTTCCTGACAAAAAACTTGAAAATTATAGTCTTCTGTTTTTAGTGACATCTTCGTTTTT